AGTTCAAAATTTTAGGCGGAGTCTTTTAACGATGTTTTTAATTGGTTTCAAATATTCTGATCTGATTTGTTTAAAGTTTGTCTATTCTAAACTGATCTAGTACGTTAAATGTAGGGTCTGTGAATATCGAGAAAATTTTACATAAATGACTTTTAGAAGTTAGAACTTTGTTGAATTATCATCGAACACTAATTTTTTTTCCATGATTCATCATTGTATTTTTGAAATTTTAGTGTAATGTAACATAGATGTGTAGGACGTTTTAGGAAATTTTCAGGATAATAGAATGTAATGAATGCTTCGGAAAATTTATTAAATTCTAATTTAACAAAATTTTGAATTCTAATGGCTAAGGAGTTCGAACGGATCAAATTTCATGATAAGATGGTCAATGTGAATTATGTTAAGGTAGATTTCATGGTAACCATAAGGTACCATACCTTTGTCCACATGGATCAATCAAAATGTTGCAATTGAATTATTTAAATCTAAATTGAAAATAATATAATGATTTGGACGAATCAAGTGAACGGTAGGTACGGTATCTCATATTTAAAATGGGTACGAGAGTTGTCACCTAAAATAATTGGAGTTTTTTCCAAAACTAATGTTAAATAAAATAATATTTACCAAAATAAGGTTAGGTTAGAAATAATTTCCAAAATACTGCTCCCCTAAACCCCAGTTAAAAGAACTGCCACTTCAAGTGGCGGCTTATGCGAAACTGAATAACACAGGTAGAAGCAAGGCAAAGCACATTAAGGGAGTGTTTGCAACTGCTTCTGCTTAAAAAAAAGCACTTTTGGAGATGTAAGGAAAAAGTGATTAGCAGTAAAAGTTGATAGTGTTTGGAAAAAAAGTGATTCTGAAAAGTAAAAGTTGGTAGTGTTTGGTAAAATAAGTGCTTTTTGTGTAATAGAAAAGGGAAAAACACTTTTCACACGCAAGCCGAGAAAAAGTAAAAATTGGTAGTGTTTGGTAAATAAGTGCTTTTTAAAGCCAAAAGCTGAGAAGTGCTTTTTTTAAGCACTTGCAAACACTCCCTAAGCAAGTAACGGACATCGTAATATTGAGCTAGGGCCCCACAAAAATAAAAATCCCATTTTATTTCAAACTGATATAACTTTTTTATTTGTACTCAAATCATTACAAAAAATACACCAAGATTTATAACTTTTTATTATCTTTCATATGACACCAATATTGAATATATAAAAAAAATTAACACCTTTTTTGTGTGTAAATGTTACTCCCTCTGTCCCGCTATGATTGTCCCATTTTACCTTTTCGGTCCGTCCCACTAAGATTGTCTCGTATCTTATTTAGTAAAATTTGTGTGGTTCTAAATCATTCTTACTTTATTAATTGTATATCAACCACATAAACCTACTTTTATTAATAACCGTGTCACTTTCTCTTGTCCCAAACTTAGGGGGATGAAGGTAGTATATCTTTTTTATTTGTACTTCATCGTTACAAAAAATATATTAAAATTTATAATTTTTTGTTATCTTTCATAACAAACTAATTTTGAATATATAAAATTTAAAATCATTTTTGCTAATTTGTGCATTTTGGAATCATTATTTACAATGCCACATTTATTTGGAGTTATAGGTTAAAATAAAACTGCACAAATTCCATCATTTTTATTTATTGTTTTATTCCTTGTGTAGTTTTAGGATATTTTCTTTTGACTTATTTTCAGTCCCAGATCAGATCAGATCATACCAAAGATAAATAGATCAGACCCTACTTAAATAGATCGGATCAGGCGTAAATAGATCGGATCGGGCGTAAACAGATCAGACTACACCAGTCAATTACCGTCCAAAAAAAACATCCTTATTCTAATCTATTATTGCTGATTATTTGTGTGCCCAGTAAAAATATCATAAACTGCACAAATTAATAGAATTAATTTTTTTATTTTACATATTAAAAATTGGTGTCGTATGAAATATAATAAATAATTATGAATTTGTTAATATTTTTTGTTACAATCGGAGTACACATAAAAAGATGTAACATCTAGAAAAAAGGACATTTTTAAAGTATTTGTTTTTTAATTTTTATATATTCAATATTGGTGTCATATGAAAGATAATAAAAAGTTATGATTTTTGGTGTATTTTTTGTAATGATTTGAGTACAAATAAAAAAGTTATATCAGTTTGAAATAAAAATGGGATTTTTATTTTGTGGGGCCCTAGCTCAATATTACAACATGCATTGCTTGCTTTGGCTTCTTTCGAGGCGGGTTACTCGGTGGTACTCTGTTTTGCATAAGCCGCCACTTCAAGTGGCGGTTCTTTTAACTGGGGTTAAGGGGGCAGTATTTTGGGAAATACTTTTAATCAAACCATAATCTGGGAAATATGTTTTTGTTTAACATTATTTTTGGAAAAAACTTAAATAATTGAATATAGGTGACAACTACAGTACCCATTTTAAAGAGAATCAGTTTTCCATCATGCATATATGTTAATTACTGATGTTACTAATTAAGGAGAAGAAAAAAAAATTGAAGTTTAAGAGGGGTAGGGTAGGGACGGACCTCTCTTGACCAGCAGTGTGCCAAATTTGAGCCTTGATAACCTTATTGTCGCAGACCCGTAAGCGAACTCCACACGAATGGTTGGTTTGGAATCCAAGTGGAAGGTATCTTTAGCGAACCTGGAGAGGAGATTCGATTTCCCCACACCGAGTCTCCAATCACGAGTTCGTATATGGTACCACCCGCTGTACGATGAGCACTGTACAGCTGGCCCAGTAACAGGCCTAAGGGAAAAATAGGGAAAAAATTTGGTGGCACTTTTGTAATTAATGTAAAAATCGTGGTTTCTGCCAAATGAGTATCGGTGTACAGTTAATGAGCAATAGTCCAATTTTAATGAGTATTAAGCGTACAATCATGAGCACCATGTTAGTACAAGAAAATTGATATCACAACTAAAAAACGGTGGCATTTTCGTAATTTTAGTGAAAATCGCGTTTTTCATTAGATGAACATTAATACATTTTCAATGAGCATCAGACGTATTGTATTGAGCATTAAAAGGCGAATAATGAGTGTTGTGATATCAACTTCATACATTGTAATTAACTTTTTTTTCCTTACTTTTTCTTTTATAAAAACTAATTAAATTATATCTATAATCAATTCTTATGAATTATAATATGCGAATCTAATGTAATATGATACTTTTAAAAAGTACATTGTTATGACATTTTAAAAATGAGCACACCAGTACCAAATGAGCATACGTAACATACAAATGAGCATTGATATGAATATGACATTTTAAAATGCGTATTACATTAATACCAAATGAGCATACATAAATCATGAAATGAGCAACGAAAATTCAAGTTTTTCATTTATAATCTCTAGTATGCTCAATTTTTTTATGTACATCATTTTATTCTCTAGTATGCTCAAGTTTTCATTTGTGTATGCTCATTTGAATTTCCCAACGAAAAATTCAAAAAACTCATTTAGAATCTTTAGTATGCTCAATTTTTCATTTCTGTACATCATTTGAATTCTCTAGTATGCTCAAGTTTGCATTTGTGTATGCTCGTTTGAATTTCCCAACGTGCTCAAAATTATCATTTATGTAAGTTCATTTCTTTTATTCATTTTGCACATTTATTATAAACACTTTACTCATTACCAATATAACACAAAATTTATGTTAGTAATTAACAAACTCAAAATATTAATACACAATATTAAAATACAATTTAAAAATACATTGAAAAAGGTGATAGTGGGATTTGACTATTTGAGAACTTTATATGCCCACTTTCTCTCCAAGGTACGAAGGATTAAAATCGGCTTCTCCATCATCGACCTCAGCAATTCTCCTGGCCAAGACCTCAGCGATTCTCCCGGCCAAGACCTCAGCGAGCACCTCCTTCGTCGATTAACGAGCAACGAGCAACACCTCCATCGTCTCCACCGAACAATCCGCAGATCCCTTCTAGCCCAACGGTTCAAGCACAACATGGAAGAAGCTTTATCACTAGATCACTATTTAATTGCAAAAAAACCCGTCTGTACCGTGCCCTAGGTACAGCCGGTTGTACGATAGTATTTGCGTCCAATCACCACTGTTTTGAATAGTCACACTCCTCTAGGGCAGAGCACGGGTCGAGTTCGGGCGGGTCGGGTTCAAAAATGGTAAACCCGTTCGGGTATCGTATTGATAATTTCAAACCCTACCCTGTCAAAAAATATATCGGGTTTTTCGGGTTGAAGAAGTTCGAGTTTCGGTCGGGTTGATTCGGTTTTCGGGTCCATTCGGATTTTAATTTATTATTGTTAAAATTGTGATAAATAAAATGGTAATTGGTAAAAATATCATTCAAAGTTATACTAGTATAAAATTCAAAGTAATAGTTGTATAAATATGGTAATCGACATATTTGAACATGTAAAATAATAATACACGGTGATTGACATATTTGATATTGTGATAAATAAAATGATAATTGGTCAAAATATCATTCAAAGTCATAACAATACAACATTCAAAGTTATAGTTTTACAAATACAGTAATTAGAATATTTGAATATGCATAATATGGTAATTGACATACAATAATTGAGATATTTGAACATGCATAATAATTCAATGTAGTATACTCCCTCCGTTCTTTAATATAAGTCCTCTTAGGCTTTGGCACGCGTTTTAAGAGGAAAATAGTAGGGGTAGTGTAAAAGGTGTAATGAGTAGTGGGTAAATGAAAAAGTAGGAAAGAGAAAGAGGTAATGGTAATAAAAGTGGGGGTATAAAGGTATATTTAAAGTAAAAACTTTCCTTAAATGGAAAGGAGGACAAATAAAAAAAAACGTCCCAAAAAGGAAAGAAGGACTTTTATTAAAGAACGGAGGGAGTATATACTACGCTTGTTCGGGTTTTCGGGCGGGTCGGGTAGCATAATCGGTAACCCTACCCGCTACCCGCTTAACTCTCGGGTTGCAAAAATCGGGTCGGATTTGGATGATTCGGGTCGGGTTATCTGATCCAAAAATAATAATCGGATATATCCGGTCGGGTCAATTAGGTAGGGTCGGGTTTGCTCTCCCCTACCCTCCTCATCCGCCCGCAGCAAAAAAATTGGAATATTTGTGGGCCCACTTTTTTACGCAGTTCGTTAGCAGTATTTTTAAGGCTGTCGCTGGCTGCCGACTCGCAATTCCAAGTCCCCGCGCCGCTTCTTCTTCTTCTTCTTCCAGAAGGTCAACCTGCTTTTCTGGCTTGCTGCTACATCTGCGTTACTGCTTCTTCATCTGTGCGTATGGAGAACGCACATGAAACGAAGAACTTTTCTTTCCCCTCAGAGGAAGAAAACGTCCTGCGCTTTTGGAGGGATATTGACGCCTTTCATACCCAACTTGAGCGCACAAAGGGCTGCCCGGAGTTCGTATTTTACGATGGCCCTCCTTTTGCGACCGGCATGCCCCATTACGGACACATCCTGGCGGGCACCATCAAGGACATTGTCACCCGCTACAAGTCCATGACGGGTCACCACGTCACTCGCCGTTTCGGTTGGGACTGCCATGGTGTCCCAGTCGAAGCTGAAATCATGAAAAAGTTTGGAATCACTGGTAGACGCCATGTTCTTGAAATGGGTATTAAAAAATTCAATGATCATTGTCGAAGTATCGTTTCGCGATACGTTGCAGAGTGGGAGCAATTGGTCACCAGGACGGGACGCTGGATCGACTTTCAGCAAGGGTATAAAACTATGGACTTCAATTTCATGGAAACTGTTTGGTGGGTTTTTGAAAAGCTTCACTCCAAGGGACTTGTGTATAGGGCGTTCAAGGTGAGCAGAGACGTTTTTCTTCTACTAATTTAGTTGATATGTTGCACGGAAACGTAAAAATCAAATCTTGGGAAACGGGAAACATGAAACGTAAAAAAATACAACTACTTAGTGAGTTTCTAAAATGGAAAGGTACCTTTTCCCGAGAGTTTCCGTGCTACATGGAATGGAATGTATCTATATGTATATGTGTGTTTCTAAATGTCTGTATGGTTGTTCCTTTCACTACCTTACAAACATATAAGCAATTGGTCCATTCACAGCTGCATTGTTATTTGTTTTATTCACACCTGCAGGTTATGCCCTGCACAACAGCTTTCGAGACCCCTCTATCAAACTTTGAAGCTGATTTAAATAAAAGACCTGTCACTGACCCTTCTATAATGGTGTCCTTCCCAATTGTTAATGATCCCCAGAATGCAGCTTTTGTAGCCTGGACAACCACGCCTTGGACTCTTCCATCTAATCTCGCTCTCTGTGTTAATCCCAGCTTAGAATATGTCAAGGTTATAGTTGTTACTGCGGATGATCATCTCTACTGCCTTTCTTGTGATTATAATTATCATTGTGGTTGTTGTTCGTGGATTTCATTTTTAATGTTCCATTTTTAGTAATGTGTTCAACGCACGTCTTTTTACTTGGTTATTAACATGAACCCTAAATTTATTTAAATTGTAAAACACGCATGATAGATTAGTTGTACACTTCTTTTACATGTTTTTAAAAAAAATTAATTTTCTAAGATTCGTAGTTCACGTTTGTAAATTTTGCGTGGTTTTAAATATGAGCTCCCCGCTCCCTGCTTTTATTTATTTATTATTTATTTATTTATTTATTTATTTATTTTGTCATTTACCTTCCATAATAATACTTTTCAAGCAGCATTTTCCAAATTTTATTTTCTTTAGTGTTTCTTGAACTAGTCACCCTATTTACCTTGTTTTAAAAGTACTATAAAGTATAAACAAATCTTTCACAATTTAATATACTAATTATTTAATCATCTTATGTTAAATAGTGTTATTAGACGCAGAAAGTATAATACAATGTGGCGGATAATAAACTATAAACCTTATCCCAAAAATAGGACTCTTTGTCTCGTCCTTTAGTTACAACTTATTTCCTAGTTGTTCACCTTTTGTGCTATGTTTTTCTACTTGCATGTTTTTTGGCCGGGTGTGGCATTTCATGGAAAAAGTACTAATTGTTAATAGGAGGACAAGTGTGAAATTGTATTCAATATTTTTACGGTCATAGTGTGAAATAAACCCACCAACAGAATTTAATTAATATTAGCTTTACAGTTTTATTATGGCTTGATAAAAATATTAAATACACAAATCTTTGGAACTAAATATTGTAAAACGTCAAATCTGCATTATTTCGCCCATGCATTGCAACTTAAAAGATTCAATAAGCACAGTGCCTCAGTTTTATAGCTTTAATTAAAATTGATGTCTTAAGTATTTATAAACCATTGCAGCTGATTTAGGTAATAATGTAACATCATCCTTATTTCACACATATGTTATAAGTTTAGACTTTAGAGTTGCATTATGCAAATATTTGACTCTTTTTACTCATCAAAGTTGATAGGTGGTAATTAATTCTCTGTATTTCTTCGTGACAGGTTCGCAACAAATATTCAGGAAGTATCTATGTGGTTGCTGATTGTAGTTTGTCAGAACTTCCGCCTGAGACACCGAATTGCAAAGACTACCCCATAGTTGATCTGACGGATTGTTATGAAGTCTTGGATAGATTCCTGGGAAGTTCCCTTGTCAATATCAAGTAAATTCTTCCTGCACTTTTTTTGTCTGTTAAACATTTAGTTCATGTGGTTGACTGTTATGTTATGTGTTGCTTGGTTTGACCTTCTACTACCTGATCTTGGGCTCAGTGTATCGTGTTTTTCGTGGCAGTACATTACCTACCTTTGATTCATTCTCTTATGTATTTGTACAATCTTTTGATTGGTAGTAGTATCTAGGTTGTTTGCTTGAGTGGTTTCAATTTCGTTTGATCGAGGATTGATGAAATGTGCATGCAGGTACGAGCCGTTATTTGATTACTTCATGGAGTTCTCTCACGTTGCTTTCAGAGTTGTCTGCGATGATTCTGTATCCGGTCAATGTGGCACTGGGGTTGTCCATTATGCTCCTCAATTTGGCGAGGATGATTTTCGTGTTTGTTTGGAGAATGGAATCATCAACAAGGTTTTCCCCGTGTTCGCTACTTTCAAAAAGTTGCTTGGGGGTTGCTTGACATGTCATATGCAATTTCATTTGTTATTTATCTACCCTTATACAGTTCTTTCTTTGTCTCCTTTTATGCATTTTCCCTGCATCTAATCTAAATGCTTAATCTCCATGTTTTTTTTCTGTGCAGAAAGATTTGATTGTACCAGTAAATGAAGCTGGCTTATTCACTGAGAAAATTTCTGATTATTGTGGTCGCTATTTCAAGGATGCAGATAAGGATATTATTGGAAGAGTAAAGGTTAATCATAATAATTCTGACATGTATTGTACTTATAATACATCAACTTCAAACATTATTTCACCATTTTAAAGATACTTCTCTCTCTAATATCTCTATGCGGTGCTCTGAATCAATTTGAGTTAACTTTCAATGGACTGTCTTCACTAATTTACTTTTTGTGCCTTTTTTCTTCTCTGTGTCTTCTTGCTTTTTTCAGGCAAAAGGCAGGCTTGTCAAGTCTGGCACTGTGAATCATGTGAAAGCTTTTTGCTGGAGATCTAATACTCCTCTGATAAACAGAGCTGTTTTGTGCTGGTATGTTGATTTTACATATCCTCTATAGCCAATGTCGTTGTTCATCATATGTTAATTTAGACATGCTTGCAAATGCTCAATTCCGCATATTTAGATTATGGCTCATTATTTCACTAAAAACATCTAAGCATAGTTAAGTAAATGTTCTCAGGAATAAAAAAACATGAAACTCTTTTGCTAATGTATCTGACATTCGGTAATTATACACTATTTTCTCTGGCTTAAAGCAATCTACCTATTCAGGGTGCCTAGTATCCCATCAAGCGAGCACCAAAACTGATTTTACTTGCTGTTTTATGTACTAAACAATATTTTCTCCCATTGCATGCCGATTGAAATGTTCGCAAGTGTTTCCTTAAATTCCAGTGCATTTGAATAAATAATGGCTCGTTTTTTTAAATTTAATATTTACTGTTTCTTTTTCAATTCACAGTTATTTTCCTTGTGTTGTCCTTGGTTATGGTGGTGCATGCTTGCATTCTGAAGTATGATGTGTTATATGTCCAGGTTTGTTTGTGTGGAAAAGTTGAAAGATCAGTTATTGGAAGTTAACAGACAGACTTACTGGGTACCTGATTTTGTGAAGGTCAGAGATCACTTCTCCTTGAATCAATCGATTTTTTTTTTCTTTTCCTACTTTGGTGTTGCTATTCTGTCAACCTCATCTTTGGATGTTAGAGATCTTCAGAAATCCAGAACAGTTTAACAGGAAGATATCAAGAACAAACTAAAAAAGAGCTTTATTGATGAAGACAGTAACAAGAAACGATGGCCAAAGCCCCCAAAAGCCGAAGCTCCCAAAGAAAGAGATAATTAGTCTCAGTCCTCCCAAGTCCCAAAGACAAATGTCTAAACAGCCTTCCCGACTTCTCCCCAGTTTAGTCTATTTATACTAACTATTACACTTATTATTATTCTTGGTTTATTTGACCCAATTCCTAACAGTCCATTAGGCCCAATCTAATAGCTACTAGTCTATTTAATAGTCAATAGGTGGGTCCCTATCGCTATGATCTTCAGCTTCCTCTTCTTCCTTGCGCCTCTTCCTTCCCAGTACTTGACTGGTTGATGGATTAGTGAATTCAGTACAAGATTTATTATTATCACAGAACTTCCCACAGCAGAAGAATTTTGTAATGCAGTTTCCTTCTGTTCAGTCACCTTCCCGCAATCCATATCAAAAAATATTTCTTCACCTTTCTGCGGCCCCTCATGCTTCCCATGTTCTGAAACTAATACTGTACTAAATGGAAACTCCTTTATGCAGCTTTCAACCTCTCTCCCTTTTACATCCTTGCCTACCTTATTTGAGAAAGAAAATTTTAAAGGTTTTGGCAGGTAAGTAAGGATAAGGATACCCCTGATTCCAGTTGCATTTCTCCTAACCAAGGAACATGAATGATTATTTCCCAAGTAAGACTTCCAAAATTGGCGTCCTAGCAGGTAAGCAGATTCTTCCCCAGAAGAAAACACTGCTATTTTCAAGCCTTGTTTCACTTTCACCTGTTCCTTAGTTTCAATATCTTGTTCCACATAACTTCCTGCCGTTTTCTCATTGATATAACTTGTAGTTCTGAGCCACTCCTGTCACATAATCCACCCCTAAGTTGTCAGACGAGTCACAACTAATTGGACCCTTCCCACTCAGATGTACAATAGCAGAAGAAACAACTGGAGCATATTCTTGATGATCCTTCGAATTATACGGAGCTGAAAGTCCCTCTTCAACCTGGGTTTTGAAGATTGTTTTAAACATACTAGAAGAGTGCATCTCACAAGTCAATTCTTGATTGTACACTGCTGTTTCAGCCTCTTTATCATCCATAACCAGTCTTCCTCCACTCATAACATTCATCCCAGTTGGTGAAATTCCAGGCGAAATCAATGCCCCAATTTGAAAATTAGCATATGATTTCCCAGAAAGATGATAAACACGATCCTCAAGAAGAACTGGACCATATCTCTTTTGTTCCAGGGAATTTAAATCCACATTGTTTGCAAAATTAGGAGAAACATAACCTGGCCATTGAGTAATCTGGCTTTTTCCTCGAATTCTTCCTTCTTATTCATTTTCTTGATTACAGATTCCATTGGTTCCCTTTCGGTCTTATTTATTGACTGGGAAAATTCTTTCCCAAGTAGAGAAACATCTGGCGACAAAACTAGCAAACCAGAAGCTTCTTCTTTCGATCGTGGTTCTTCATTATGCAAGTTGATCGCTGATGGAAATTCCTGCGCGCCTAGTGAAGATGTCTTTGATATGAGCGAAATCCTTCGAGATTGGAAACTATGAGTAACCGTTCGCAAATGCGAACTAGAAGAAACAGTGAGCGGCTTCGTTTGCGAACTTGTGAGCGTTGGCGACGAATTTACCTTGTCAGATAGCGAAGAGCGATGAGAAGAGCGATGCGACGAACCTTGTTTGTCAGGTAATGGAAGAGACCTAGTCTTCCTCGATCGTTCTTCAGTTCTTCTGCGACGCCTCTGTTCTTCCAACTCCTCTGAACTTGCTGAATGTTGCGACCGATGTTGCGATCTATGCGAAGAGTGCGGATGATCGATCGAATGATGCAATCGACTCTTCGAACGACCTGGAAGTCTGTTTTTAAGATCATCGATGCCAGCCTGCACTGCTGTCATCATCGCTAGCAATTCATCATACTTCGTATCTATATTATTAAAACTCTCTTCCATTTTCGGAGTCAAAAATTCCTCCATGAATCAGATTCTTGGTCTCCAGGAAATAACAGTCTCTGATACCAATGTTAGAGATCTTCAGAAATCCAGAACAGTTTAGAACAGTTTAACAGGAAGATATCAAGAACAAACTAAAAAAGAGCTTTATTGATGAAGACAGTAACAAGAAACGATGGCCGAAGCCCCCAAAAGCCGAAGCTCCCAAAGAAAGAGATAATTAGTCTCAGTCCTCCCAAGTCCCAAAGACAAATGTCTAAACAGCCTTCCCGACTTCTCCCCAGTTTAGTCTATTTATACTAACTATTACACTTATTATTATTCTTGGTTTATTTGGCCCAATTCCTAACAGTCCATTAGGCCCAATCTAATAGCTACTAGTCCATTTAATAGTCAATAGGTGGGTCCCTATCATTGGATCACAGTGCACATCATTAGCTGTTTAAGCTTTCAATGTCTTAGGGATGTACAATTGTTAAAATGTAAAATGTTTTAGTATTGCAGTAACTATGTGATGTTGTTTATTTTCAAATTTCAGTTTCTTTTTTATCTCTTACGAACTGTTAATGTGATATGGACGGAAGAAGCCTAATAAAACTTTTGCTTAATAGAATTTTACTTTTATTTTATGAATTTGAACAAAATCATAATCTTTCACGAGGTTTAATATATCATTAGAATTGCTGTTTTGACTCTTGAAATGGTGGTAGGGGTGGAAGTGTATCATGAACTAATTTCAAGGGATTGTATGTGAAAAGACCATATTCTTTGCTTTTTGACGGTGTTTTGACATGCATTTATTATTAACTTCACGAAAAGTGATGAATAAATGTAAATATATGTATATGTGTGTGTGTCTATATATATGCACCTTCATGGATTTATCTCTTCGAATTTTTATGTGCTTTTTTTTATTAACATGTCTCAAACAATTGCACTTATGCCTTACGCCTTGTTGCATTATAGGATAAACGTTTCCATAATTGGCTTGAGAATGCACGAGATTGGGCTATAAGCCGCAGTAGATTTTGGGGTACTCCTATTCCCGTATGGATTAGTGAGGACGGTGAAGAAATATTGGTCATTGATTCAGTTGATAAGCTTGAAAGGTTTTCTGGCGTCAAGGTGTGATGTGTATATTTTTGTAGCTTTGTCTTACCCTTTAGCTGTTTCTCAACAGAGTGTTTTTCCGTATCACATCATGCAAGTTGGCTTTGGGTAATAAGGCTATTACTTTTACATCTTCTTCATATTTTGCATATATTGGCTTATAAATGTATTGATGATCGCACATTTAGGCAGTCAAATGATTTTGTTTTTTTCTCCTTGTAAAAATATTTGCGAACTCTTAAGTATATGTATCCCTATAACATATGGTTTATGTTGCTTTACAATCGATGTTGATATCACTTTGTTGGTAACGTGTTTGATGGGTAATTCACTGCAGGTAGTTGATCTCCACAGAGAAAATGTAGATAATATCACGATCCCTTCTTGCCGTGGTTCTGAGTTTGGTGTTCTTCGACGAGTAGATGATGTATGACTGTCTTGCATTACTGTTTTATGTTATTTCATTATACAAAGTTTTGATTGGGATTTGGTGGCATTTCTCAGGTTCTACTTTAAGCCAAACTGTTTATATTTGCAGTTCTTAGTGAGCATTAATGTGATAATGTGTATTAGTCTTTATTTTGTAGTTATTTTTCTCATTCCATCAGCATGCTACTAGCATGCTAAGGCTTGATGTAGTTATTGGTATTACTATCATTATTATTATTACTAGTTGGGTAATAGTGATAATTATTATTGGTATTGCCTAATTCTGTTAGCTATTTTATCTTTGTCCAGGATTTCATGGTTATAGTTGATTTAGAACCTTTACCCGCTCATTATATAGTGGGATATCAGCCACAATGAACACAATTAAGTTGTTCGACTTTAGTGCCCGTTGGTAACACTGAAATTGTTTGAATCGCTAAATGTGCTGAATTATTGAAATTCAGGCTAGAGTAGGTGAATCTTCCCAATTATTGGAAAAAAATAACATATATTTTATTAATAAAATAAAGAAGAATTTGTATGAAAAAATAGCTAAAGTAGTCTTCTACGGTAACTCCAACCTTACTTATTTTGATTACCACACAATTCACCCTGAAATCAAAAGTTACGTGTTTAGTAAAATAGTTGGCCAATGGGGCTGATGAGTTGAAAAAACGGGTTACTAAACAGGCTCTAGATAATTATGAGTCTCTCTCAAGGACTAACTTTTCCTCGTGGATTCTTTCGTGGATGAGCCTGTCATACAGACACACACATACCTGGCCCAGGAACTCATGCGCAGCTACAACTTCAAAATTTCTGTATATTGAGGGATAGATTGGGCAATGGATTTGGAAGTTAAAGTGTGTCTCATGATATATATTTGAGAATTCATAACAGAAATAACATGATGTGTAAACAACACTCCATACAATCTTTCGTATTTCAAGCACCATTCATTCTTGAAACATTCTATTTTTAAATATACTTATTAAAGCTCTCAAAGACCTTCTCCAAACTTACCCTAAGCGTAAAGGGCAAGCACCCTAGCCCCTAGGATTTAATTGCCACACTTTAGCTACTATACCTATTTCACTGTACTTTTGACATGGGCAATTGAATGATGCCTAAACATGTCTGTCATATTCCAGGTATTTGATTGCTGGTTTGAGAGTGGTTCCATGCCGTATGCTTACATCCATTATCCATTCGAGAATACTGAGCTGTTCGAGAACAATTTTCCTGGCCATTTTGTGGCTGAAGGGATTGATCAAACCCGTGGATGGTTTGTTTTTAATTTGCGAGCTTTATGTGGTGATATTTGATTGGTTTACCTACTATTTGTGACAGTTTGTCCTACATTTTTTTATGTTTCAAGAACATACTTTTTGTCCATGATTTCTATTTTGTTCTCCATATTAAAGTATTAAACATTTAACCATTGACACATCGATCGACTTATACAATGGTAATTTTTTATATTATGTGGCAGGTTTTATGCTCTTACTGTACTGGCAACTGCGTTGTTTGGAAAGCCAGCATTCAGGAATCTAATCTGCAATGGGTTTGTTCTTGCTGAAGACGGAAAGAAGATGAGTAAACAGTTGAATAACTATCCTTCACCAATGGATGTCATCAATGACTATGGGGCCGTATGTTCTTTTATATGCATCCTGCATATTTCAAATGTGTATATACGCACATACGCGTGCGGGCACGTGCGCGCGCGTGTGTGTGTGTGTGTAACTGTGTGTATAACTTACTCCACACTACACACAAAATAAGCTCTGATGACTGCACCGTACAAGCTAGGCCACTGTGTGAACACCTAATCATCAGGAAATTAACCAAGTAATTGACTTGGAAATTTAATCATTGACACCACTTAAAATGGTCTAATACTGAGAAGTACGTCTTTTTATTATCTCAAAATGCCACATTCTCTAACAGAGCTGTGGTGACCATCTTTGACTCTACAGGATGCTCTGCGGTTGTATCTTATAAACTCACCTGTTGTCCATGCAGAAGACTTATATTTTAAAAAGGAAGGCGTGAATGGTGTTGTGAGTTTTTATTCTGTTTATGGGCTATATAGACTGCACATCTTTCATATCACTGTTATACTTGTGCTTATATGGGCATATGATAGAGCTGTAAACTTTTATTTCGTATCTCCAGGTTAAGGATGTATTTCTTCCGTGGTACAATGTGTATAGGTTCCTAGTTCAAAACTGCAATAGACTTGATGCTGAGGGCTCTCCATTTATCCCTTCTGATCTAGCCTCTGTCCAAGTGTCACCTAATGTGCTCGATCAGTGGATCAGCTCAGCAACTCACACTCTCGTGTCTTTTGTACGTAAAGAAATGGATGGTTATAGACTTTACACGGTTAGTATTGCTATTATTAGAAACAATTGGTTAGAAGATTTATGCAAAGTGATTATCTTGGAGAATTTTGTGCCATGTTCTATTAAATCTTTACCACATTTCATTTGATTGATCTCCATGCAAAGTCAAATAGAAAAGATAAAATGGGTACCATTAGGGTTTTTCTTAAATTTGTTTATAAACATTATTAATATTGTGTTTTGCAATTGTTCAATTTGGTGACCTAAACATATTTGTGCATCTTGGCATGAGGAGTTGTTGACAGTTTTTATAAATGAATAATTACTTGGTGACAAATGTATTTGTAATTCAATTAAGTTTTGCACTCCATTTTCCAGGTCGTTCCTTATTTATTGAAGTTTCTTGACTACCTGACAAACGTATACGTGCGGTTTAACCGCAAGAGACTGAAAGGTCTTACGGGAGAGGAAGATTGTCAAACAGCTCTCTCAACCCTTTACAATGTGCGTAATAATAATATAGTTTCTTTTTTTTGCCTTTGTGATTGAAAACAATTTTGCTTGGTTAAAAATCACCTTCTTTGTCTTCTTTGTGATTGAAAATCACCTTCTGCTTGGTTAAATACCTGTTAATGACAGGCTATTATGATTTTTTCACAGATTTTATTCTAGTCCATTCTTATAAGTACTCATCCCCCCAGCCTGGTCCCATTGACTATTCAAATATGAAAGACTTTTGAAAAACATATTCAGACTTTTAGTGTCAATGTTGACATACTTCTGTTTAGTCAATGTTGCACATAAATAATGGAAATCTTGGGTATGAAGCCAATATCCCCACCCATGCTATTATCTAGATTCTAGATTATGTTTTCGATATAGTTCTGTAATACGAGATTTGTTTTCTGTTAAACTAAAATGCATAGATTCATTTTATATGATGAATAAATGTATCCTTTATTAACTCCCTGGGAGAAGTAACGATGTGTTAAAAGTCTCCTTAAACGTATCTTTCTAAACTCTTTCTTCTTTGGCTGGTATGAGGAAATAAATAATAGTCTCTGGATGATATGTGCTTTGAATTGTCTGCCATTGATGGTGTATTTCGTGATTATGTCTTGTGCATTTCAGGTGCTCCTGGTTACATGTAAAGTTATGGCTCCTTTCACACCGTTCTTCACAGAAGTTCTGTACCAAAATATGAGAAGAGTTTGCAACGGATCAGAAGAAAGCATTCACTATTGCAGTTTTCCTGAAGCCGAAGGAAAGGTGTTGGTCAAAACACATATGAGCTACATTAGAATTCTTTGACAGTTCTGCAATTGCATTGTTTTTTGTTCATAAACATTGATACACGCCCTTCCACTTCTTATTATACCGCTAAGCTTTTAAATTTGTCTTGATCAATATTCTTATAAAAATTGCATGTGGCATGAACTACCTTGTATGTGACTCAAGATTTTTCTCTAAATGTTTGTTTGGAAAATTTTATTATGTATCTTTTTTTGTAGACGGAAAACAAAATCGAACGGAGTGTGCAAAGGATGATTACTGTTATTGATCTTGCACGCAATATTCGCGACCGTCAGAAGAAGCCCATTAAGGATCCTCTTAGGTAAGATTGTTACGTTTAACGTGCATAGGCTTATTGTTACCCACTTCTGATTATTCTGCTAAGTTCTAAAACACTGCTTAACTACAGGGAGATGATTGTGGTGCACCCAGATGCTGATTTTCTTAATGACATTGCCACAAAGCTAAAACAGGTGAGCTAACTTTTTTAAATTGTCGATTACATCAAAACACCCGATTTTGGAGAGCACTTCAGACCAACTATTTATACTCCGTGTATGTTTTCTTTCTAAGCACTCCCTCCATTTCTATGTGTTTCATTTTGGAAGGGTATCATAGTCTTGTGTTTTTTTAAACCAGATTTGCTAGACCACCTATAACTTTCTTTTGTTTTATGATTATGTATATGTATGTATTTTGATTTCCACTCATTTAATGCCTTTGGGCATCTTTCTGTTGAATTAAAGTATGTGTTGGACGAGCTCAATGTGAAAACTATTGTCCCATGCAATGATGTTCTGAAATATGCTGATTTACGTGCTGAGCCGAACTACAGGTGAGTTAGTGTACCCATGTTATGGTTCTCAAATGCTTCACTGCTTTACTTTTATTGGCGGTAATTTTGAACTCCATGGATCTAAGGCTGTCGGCCATTTACTTTTAGTGTGTTAGGCAGGCGCCTTGGAAGAGATATGGGTGCGGTTGCCAAGGGAGTGAAAGCAATGTCACAGTCAGATATTTTAGCTTTCGAAGAAGCTGGAGAAGCAGTTGTTGCTATGCATTCTTTGAAGATGACAGATATCAAGGTATTTTGCTGTCTTTAGGCATGATTTGGGTGTGGTTCTGCACTATTGTTTCTATGCCGTTCAGGTCGATGATGTAGGGCCGTAGGGGAAGAATTGAGCAGCATATTTTGTACAGTAGAGGGGGACAAGTTCTTCGCACCGTGTCATTGAATATAATTTCTCATCCAAATGTTGTTATGGAGAACAATTGGCTATCTAACTTTTACCAGCCCTTGCTATGCGCTCCTAATCATGACCTACCAATTGAATATAATTTCTCATCCAAATGTTGTTATGGAGAACAATTGGCTCTCTAACTTTTACCAGCCCTTGCTATGCGCTCCTAATCATGACCTACCAATCAATAGCTATTTTGAAATTTTAGTGAGAGTACAATGGGCTTAATTAGTTAGTTGAGTGATCAAATCAAAGCCACTTTGAAATTACAATGGCTAAATTGAGTACTAAAAATAGATAGATAGCCATATTAAAATGATTTATTTTCCATTTCGAGTGCAAGTGTTGGGGGCCTTGCACACACCACACTAGGCAAATGTGATAAAATGGTACAAACTTTAAGGGATGGAGGGAGTAAATTATTGTTAAACAAATTACCCTCAATGTGTTAAAGGTAACCGATTGTCTGGTGTGCTTCAGTGCATGTCACATGGCATGCTTTGCTGAAGTTGTAATTTGAATGGAATATATGCACATCGTTGATATTTCTTTCTTATGCTTTGTTTCTGATCAAAATCCAGGTTTTCCGTGATTTCAAACGTCCACTAGGTATGGATGCGTGCGACATTGATGCAGCCGGAGATGGTAAGGATTAATGATGACTTCTCATTTTTGTTGCTTTGACCACTATGCAACTGAAATCAGTGACAGTTAATTACTTATTATGTATTTTGTAATATGCAGGAGATGTTTTAGTGATCTTGGATCTACGTTCTGATGATTCTCTGCGTGAATCTTGTGTTGCACGTGAGGTGATATGACTCGCAATCTCTTTAAATGACAGTTCTTTTAATCTTTTACTGTGGGTTGAGCTTACGATATAGATATTGAGACTTACACCCTTCCTGTAAGATAAAAAGCTTATGCCTCTTATAGTGAGGCGTACGCCATGACCTCTGGGCATTTTAGGTGGGAAATTTTTTCTCAGGATTTTGGATTTAGGATTTAAGATTTGGTTCAGCTTCAGGATTTTGAAATTGCATATTGTGCATGTGTGATTGTTTATTATGTTTAACCGTGGGTTTCATATGCGCCTTGTGTTCAAGCTTTCATTTTGATTTATGGCGTGATGATATCTTGGCGTCATGTGTTTGTATTTCAGGCTTTCTGGACTTAGTAGTTTAACTATAATTTGTTTTACTTCGTATTTATTACTCCGTAGTTTATTTTGAGGCTAAGGCTTACGCCTCACCTCTCAGAAACAAACTGCCTCAATACCTATACCAGCCTTTTAAAGCCTTTTGACCACGCCTGACTTGATTTGTTTTTATATGCCATAACTGAAATTCCGTTAAAACCCCCACGCTTTACTATCTGTTTGGCGCGGTCCTTGCTAAATTCAATCTACCTGTTTCTGTAGTAAATCTATGCACACATAAACTGCATTTTGAGACTAAGAGTTATGCAAGTTTTGATACTTTGTATGCCTAAAATCATTTTGTGACATGAGAGGATTGCACATGTAGATCGTTAGCGGAGTGCAGAAGCTACGGAAGAGAGCTAGCCTTGAACCAAAAGATGCAGTTAATGTTTATTTGGAGTCGCCAGATAAAGCAGTCATTCAGCAAGTGTTGAAATCACAGGCAAGTCATTTATGTCATTGCCTTCAAAGTAATTACATTCCAAAAGTTTGGATTCTCTTAAGTGAAGGTTGGATTAAAAAAAAATCTGGAAAAGGAATATATTCCCACTTTCCATGTAGTCTATATATGATGGATAGCTTCATTTTTCTTTTGACAGGAAAAATACATTGGGGATGCACTTGGATCTCGAGTGATCTTTTTGATGGCTGCAATAGATGATGAAGTAAGTATTTGATTTTATGTACTCCACAAAATGTTTGTTTGTCTTTTCTTTTATTTTCTTTTGATCATGACTAAATTTGACTGAGGTAGACTAAAATATCGGACTCTCTAAAACTCTAATAACATGTGGGAACTTATTCCCGAGTCCATAGCACTTAATCTTTCACTTCAAATATTATTACCTCTGTGTCAAATTGTTTTGCAAAGCCAACATTTTTTTGGTCAACCAATGTTGAAGTTAAATCCTCTCCATTGATATTTAATTTACTTTTAATAATTTTTTTTTTTGAAAATAATTTACTTTTAATAATTAAAAAGTACATATTCAGAAACTAGTTTAAAATCTCTACATTTAAATATTGGACTCTCTGAAGCTCTAATAACTCTATGAAAACTTCTTGATTACATAGCAATTAGCACTTAGTCTTTCACTTTAGATATTAATTCCTTTTTTGGGTAGAAAAATATTAATTCCTTTAGTGGTAACATTATATAAAAACATTGCTAAAATCTCAAAATAAATTAATTGGACATAGTCTTGAGTTCTTGACTATGCCAGATAATTAACCTAACTTAATAGAATAAATTAAACATCAACCTGACTTTTTCTTTCTTTTGGTTGTACTAACATGTCTTGAGTATAAGTGAACTAACCATCTTTACCATATAATTAGAGTTTGATGGTACTAAAACTTTATATCCAAACACATGACCCGCCAGTCCGCCACTACTAAAGACCACCAAGGGCACACCAGAATCTGGAAAAAAAAATTCTGAACCTCCTAGATGATCAAACCGCTGCTTCTTTTTAACATGAAAACGCTGCTAAAAGCAGCGGCCGCCGGCAAGGTTGTTAGGATCGCGAGGTAACTCGTAAGATCGTACGAGTTTGCGATTTGGAGAGGGGGAATCGAGTCAGATCGCTCCAAAGATCGGAAATTGCACTGGGATCGGCAGATCGTCGAGTAGGATCGTAAAATGTACGACTCGTCGATCTAAAACGAGTTGCGACCACTCGGTTCAAAAACGGGAAAAGAAGGGCGCCGTTGAAGTCTGAAACGACGACTTTGAAAAAAAATGAAATATAGCGTCTTTTTCTTCAGTCCTCATCTCTTCTCTGTTCTCTCTATGTCGTCCGCTTATTGTTAATCTCTCTGTGTCGTCCGCTTATTCTTCATCTTTCTGTGTCGCTAGCTTTACCAAAATATTTCGCTTATACTCCACTTTACTAAAGGAGAAAAGGAGGGGGGGGGGGGGTGGGTTATTAGTGACTCTGACTTCTGAAGTTCTGATAGCATAAGTATGGCAACTGGGTCAATAGCAAACAAAGAAGCTGCAGGGTAGAGAACCGAAGTTGGCTGGGACCCTGGGAGCATGGTATATCCATGAGTGAAGATAACAGAACAATAAAGTTTTGAAAATGTCTTTTTTAATTTAGGAAAAGTTGATACTAATAATCCCAACTATTGGCGGTCCGCTCATTAGGGGTGGGCACGGGCCGGGTCGGGGCGGGTAATGCAAAATAAAATGGAACCGCCGGTTCCATTGTACGGGTCGGTCCGGTCCGGGTATTGCAATTTTGAAAATAGGAACCGGACCTTACTCGGCCCGTTTGAAACGGGGCGGTCCGGTCCGGGTTTTTCGGTTCCTGGATTTTTTGTTGACAAGTAAGATAGCAAATGTGTAAAAATGTACGGTGTATTAGAGTTGAGATGTCGAGATCCTATTTCTAACTCCTGCAGTTTGTATACTGTGTAATGTATACACTGCTACAAATCCCTACAATACCTAGACACCATTCATTATCATTAATAATCAGCAGCAACAAATGGAAGCTCTAAATGTGAAGTTTATCTAGTTAGTAGTTACTCCGTACTACTTACTAGTTACTACAGTTTACAATTATGATCCCAAAATCAAATATAAATAGGACGTTAACAAGTCTCAAAACAACAACATACTCAACAAGGTGCACATTTAACACAAGTGATAAGTCCTAGCCCACAACTTCATATATTTAAGTTCCAAAAATTCAAAGAAATTCCAAAAATTAGCAACATAATCACTATTAAGTTCCCAAATGACAACATTAATAGTCTAAAATAACAAATTAACAATATAGTAACCTTCAAGTCCTAATTGACAACACCAAAATGACAACAGGACTATAACAATATTACAACTAATACTCATTACTAGCTTAAAATTTACTCCAAAACCGAAATATAGAAGATTTGAGATACATTGTCGGCCTTAACCATGCTTGGACACACCTTCAAGGCCCACAATGTTTATTGATATGTTTTATGTAAAGTACTAGTTCCCCATCCACTTGTATCGCATGCAAAAAGGGACTTGCAATGTATACATTTAGCTTTCATCACTTGTTTTTCCACCATCACTTTCTTTCCATCTTCTCTTGTTGATGCATTTCTGATACGGTGCATGTAGTGAAATGATCCCAAACCCAAGTTGATGATGATTTGTCAATTGTAGCTAATATAGTAGCCATTCTGCAACCTGTAATTCTCAGCAACTATATCCTTAAGTATTTAAAATTGGGGAAATGTCTGTGTTGATTCACTCTCACGGTCTCACCTAATTAATACATTTAATTACCAATGAGAAAATCATATTTTACAGTTAATAAAATAGAACCTATATATAACAAGATAAGCAGTAAGTTAATGTTAAAACAAACATTACTTTTGCAGTAATTAAACAAAACTTTAGGAAATCTAATGCAGTAATGCCAAAGAGTGTATTACTTTTTAGTTTTTAATTAATAAAATCATAGCATGGAACTTTTTGATGAATGAAAGAGGACAAAGCTACTCCGTATTACAATTACAAAGCTATAAAAAAAATAGCTTTGAAGGTGCGCGAAGGAGGTCCTGGTTGAAAAACAGGTCGCACAGAAATTCAAAGCCGATCCCATCTTTAATTGATACAACCCTAAATACTTCGAGTAGAGAATCTAGATTATTTGACAGAGGTAACCATTTGCTCATAAGCTAACATTCCAGTCAAAACTCAAAACATTAAAGATGAAACGCATGGCATCTTATAAACTATCGAGTAGAGTAAAACACACACCTTAAAAAATATAAGTCACGACCTCGCAAACTAAGGAGTCTCAGATCAGTAGAACACGATGTTCACAATTCACAGCCTCGCAATCAATCGCAGCCTCTCAGTCATGTCGCGGCCTCGCAGGTAAGTCGCCGGATCTCAGGCTCGGATCTTCAGGGCCTCGATCTCTTCACATGTCGCAACAGGGATGACGACGACTATGGCTATTACACTGGTCGTTGGGCTATTATATGGTTAACTAGACTGAAGATAATTCAAAAAGGTTTACTGGGCTCAAGATAATTTAAAAGGTTTACTGGGCTCAGGGTATTTTAAAACAAAAGTATGAATTAACGGGCCGGGCCGGGTACCCGTTATTTTCGAATTTGAGAACCGGCCCGAACCTATATTAATTATTACCCGCCCCGCCCCGCCCCGTTTTCTTTTTCTTAAACTAAGAACCGCACATTACCCGCCCCGACCCGCCATTACCCGCCCCGACCCGCGGTTCTAGAACCGTTTGCCCACCCCTACCGCTCATAATAATCCCAACTATTTATTATTCCAGAATAATCCCAACTTTAGGGGCCTTCCGCCAATAATGGTTCCTATGAATAAATTCGTGTAGTTTCTAAAGTGGATGAGATGAGATATAACAAGTAATCCCTATAAATAATCTCAACTTTATTTTAATTTTTAGGCTTAATTTCTATTTAAAATTCACTTTTTATAGAGGTAATATCTTGTCATGAACCATTATTGGCGGACAGTCTATATAGTTGGGAATATACAAAAATAATCAATAGTTGGGATTATTTTCAACGGACCGGCAATAGTTAGGATTATTATTTTCAATTTTTCCTTTAATTTATCGTAACTTTGTTATCCTAAGTGTTTTAAACTTTTAATTCAAAAATGACATTGTGTTATTCATATTTCAAAAGTTATAAGTTTAAATACACACACATATATATGCATGGTATCTTTGCTTTTAAGATCTTACGATCCGAGTTACGATCCACGAGTTACGATCTCCTCTTCCCCTCCCGATCCGAGCTAGGATCTCGAGTTTAACAACCGCTGCCAGCGGGTTGGTGCCGATCAGCTGAAAACCAAACAGCACCGATACCCCGTACATTAGCGTTTTGGAAACTTAGGTTCCTAGTTTTTTCCCTTTTAAATAGGGTTCCTTGATGGAAAATATGCATTTGAAAAACTTCTTTGTGATAATTATGGAATTTCTTCATGGAAACATTGTGTTTTTTGTCATGACACAATACATTACTACCTTTCGTTTACCTTATAATCCCGTTAATTGATGCAATTTCACCCGAAATACATATAATTTCAGTTGCAGGTCATCTCCGAAGGAAATTTCCGAAGTATTTATAAAGTGACATTCAGAGTGATTCTAACCAAGTGCTAAGCTTTATTGTTTGCTAACAGGAGAGATGTAAAGTTAACTTTATTTTTGCAATCACTAATCTATTGATTTAGGATAGGTTGTTCAACATAGGATCGTGTTAAATTAAATCATTTAGTGATTCACCACGTGTCCACGTCTACAATTTGAGTAAAGTAATTAACTTTTTGCAGTTTTATTGTGTTGCGGACTTGCTGTGTTGCCCATTATTTTCAGTTTTGGTCAGCCTTGTTCAAGATCTTTTTGTCCATTAATAATGTTTTGTCCATTAATGTTGAAGGAGAGTTCTATTATTTGATAGAATTAAGTGTGAAAAATTAGATTTATTGTACTTATAAATAAAGTTGGTACTTTTCACTAGGGATGGACCGGGATATGGGCGGGACCGGGTCTGGGAAACTGGAGGCCCGGGTACCAGCCCGGTTAGGTTCCGGCCTAGCACCCAAATGATCCAATCCTTCCAAAAAAATAAAAAATAAAAATTGGGCCTGGGCCGGTCCATCAAAAGTGCAGCCGGTAGCCTGCCCCAAACCCCCCGCGTCAAGCCCAAGGCTTGGTCCCAGCCAACTGGGTCGGGCCAGTTCAGAACAGTATCGGACTGGGCCGGTCAACGGGTCGGTCAACGGGTCGGTCAATCTGGGCCCGGTTGATCCCTACTTTTCACCCTATCCCCCCTCAGATTTCACCATCACAAGGTTGTTGGGCTTGACCCTATGTTGTCTCATCAGGGGCCACCATCAGGTCTTATTAGCAACTTCCCCCTGGGCCCCACCTGCTCAGGAGACTCATAACCAAGCCTTAGATGACTCGCCCGAAGGCGAGGACCAAATGGACGAGGGCGAGGAGCTTTGAACCTTAGAGCCCTAGATGACTTGCCCGAAGGCGAGGACCAAATGGATGAGGGCGAGGAACTTTGAACCTTCCCCTCGGGCTTGGTCTTCCTCCTCTTCTCCTTGTTGATTTGAGCAGAAAGTTCCAGCATCGAAGGAACAACTGTAAAGCGAAGAACATAAGAGCAAAATACTTGACATAAATTCAAAGTGCAAAAGGTACAAAAATACATAAACAAAAGGATATAGCATGAAGAAAGCAAAGGCATACCATGTAGAGGATAGCCGGATAGGCCTATGGCTGTTCGCCACTGGCAGCTTCACCTCGAGGAGGCTCCTGTACATCCTCGTTGCCGCACCCCCAAATTACACCCCAAAGTTACTAGAATGCTAGATGCTAAGAATACAAGTATAAAGATAGTTTTCCTAAATTATTTTAGTTCAAAAGAGTTTAAATTGCATTGGAAATAAAATACTCAAAGAGTGTTATCAGCACGCTTGGGTTCTTACATAACTGAATGCGCAAGCCAAATCACAATTCGAAAGTGATCATAAGTGCCAAGTCCAAAACTAAAATAAGTAAAATATTGACAAGTTCCGAAATCCGAACTCAATTAAATGTAACTTATAGCTAGTCTAAGTTATCTAACACGGTTATCTTCAAGCACAGTTTTCCGCAAATGCACCAAATAAAGTGTAGAAACAAAACAAAAGAAAATGAACAAAAATTAGTTTTATATCTAAGTAAAACCCACTCAACCCCGTAAAATAGTTTGAAAAAATAGTTTTTGATACATATATATTGGTCGAAAAATTGTTGAAGTAAAGTAATATGTTTTTACAGATAAAAGTAGTATTTAGTATGAGAGATATTTCCACACAAATTCAGATTAAAATATGTATTTTCAAAATCATATTTGATAAACAACCACCAAAGGGATGCCCTAGTTTCAACCTGAAATGGTGGTGGGATACCCTCAAAGGGAACAAAAGGGCAATACTTTCCAGTAACTTTAAAGTACCGGTGATGATGCATCTAATAGATATATAACAAGTATTTCAAACACAAGACCCTCAAATAGGGTGATAGTATAATCTAGGTCTTAACCCCTAGTTACACCGTTTTGAAATATACTCCCTCCGTCCCAGAAACAAGTTCCCGGGTTGACTTTCACACATTTTAAGGAAATAAAGTTATTGAGGGATAAATTTTACTGTTTTGACACTGTTTGGCATTGTTTTGCACTGTTTGACACTGTTTTGCACTGTTTTGATGTAGATAATTTGTCAAATAAGGAAATGGGAAGTTTATTTTGGGACATCCCAAAGTGAGAACTTGTTTCCGGGATGAAAGTAGTACACACTTTATATAAAGTCAAGTAGTCGACCCATGAGCCCATGTACTAGCTCGACTTTAGTACATCACCATACAATCATAGACTTCAAGTATGTCATTAAACCATCATACAGTCCTGCTCTAGTACATTTATACACCATGCTAGAGCCCCGCTCTAGTCATCGCCACACTGTGCTAGAGCTCCGCTTGTAATCACCACTATCCAATTCCTAAGCAAGTCATATGTCTAGAATCAATACAATGAAAGAATCACTTCGGGTCATCTTTGAGGACTGCCCAAACTCATTCTTAGCTTCACACCTTATCAAGTTTATCAACATTTATAAACAATCTTAAGCTAGTATCCTAATACTATCAAGATTGTTCTTATCAAACCATGCGATCATAGTATGTATGTCCCAACATATTTAGAGATATGTGGCAGTAACACCACTTAATCATTTGTAAAATATAAACATCCATTTATATATTCATATAATCAATTCATTAGCTAGAAATGCCTATTTAATAGCTCAATTAACTCTATATTACTTACTAATATAGTCCCAACTCATAGATAACTTTGTTCCTAACCAAATACATCCATGTTTTATCAATATTTAGACATCATAATCCATGAAAAACCATAACTTAAGCATTTAGGTAATCTCATGCTTAACCTACAAATTACAAGAAATTAGATGTCGATACGCACCTCAAATGAGTTCCGAATTACCATCTTTCAATCATATGTCCAAACCTCCGGCAAAGGAATATTGAACACTGATTCCTTGCTTAAAAATGGTGGCTAGACAACCTCCTCCAAGTGATGGTTCGTCCCTTAGCAAAAGATATGAAAACAATTCCATAGAAGGGATGTTTTCCGACGAGTTCACCTCCTAACCTTTCAAGTTTTGTTCTAGGTTAGTATCCAACATTTTGAATGATTAAATCACTATATTAAGACCTTATTCTACATATATAATCGTGTAGAACATCCACCTTAGTCGTCCATATGTTTTATAAACAATTAAGATAATAAGTTAATAACTAAAAACCAAACACAAATTGTTTTGAGAATCTAGAATTTCACCTCGTGTGTCTATCTAATCATTTTGGGATGTAAACTCCTCTCCTCAAGAACTTCACCTCGTCTGAAAGCTCTCTTCAATATTTTTTTTATGGATACCTTAATCAAGTCCATTGGATAAGAGGTGCTCTAGATGTGGGGTGAGAAATACCAAAAATTGCAACTACTCGAACTAACATGCAACAGCCCTCTTTGCTCTCCTTCTTAGTTTGTGTGTAGCTCCCTTCTTCTCCAAGCTTTTTGGGAGTTCGAAGGAGCGATTTTGGGTATGCTCGCAGGCCTCTCTCACAGTTGGTTAATTTGAGTGGAGTAAGATGAATGACATGTGGGCTTGATTGGCAAATTATCTTTGAATCATGTATGGAGGAGGGTCTCTTATTTGTCACAAAAGTCATGTCCAGCCCCTCTTTCCATTATGTCCTCTCCTCAACAAGCCTTCCAACTTATTTCTTTGTTTTTCAGGTACCAAGGAGGTATGGGACGTCCCCCATTGGTCCCAATCAATTTGGGAGAAAAATATCTACCAATACATCCAACAATGAAAGAATTGAATCATATTGTTTTATCCTTTTGTCATGTGATGTCTTTTTTGTACTCATTCGAATTTCTTTAGAAGATGTCGAGGTTTTACATCATATTAGTGGTCTCTAATATGTGTAGGATGATCCTAATAAATTATATGTTGTACAATTATAGGAGAAAAACTTTACTTCCTTAATTTAACTCAATAATGTCAAAGATGGAATCATAGGAGTTTGTTTTTGTCTCTAGAAGTTGTCTCACCCCTTTATCTGTATATATCAATTATTATAGTCTTCCTAATATTTATTTGAAGTCTATAATAAGTGTGGGATACCCTCAAGTAGTCCAAGGATATCCTTTTCCGTTAGACTTTCTATTTTTAGCAAGTTGGGCCCAAAATAATAAAAATACCCCAAACTTTGAATGGGTGTGGGGTAAACACCCCAAATTTGCACATGTAATTTAAATACCCTAAACTTAACAAAAAGGGGTATTTTAGCACCATTTTCTTGAATTTTTTCTTTAAAAAATGTAAATTCATGGAGTTAATTGTATAATTTAAAATATAAAATTAAAAGTATTGCAATTATATAGATTGAGAATAACATTATTTATTTTGAAATGGAAGTTTAGAATGTTAATTGTGTCTTTATGAATTTTAAAATATTTTAAATTATGCAATTAACATCATAAGCCTACATTTTTGAATTAATTAATACGAGGAAACAGTGTGACAATAACCTTATATATAAGGTTTGGGCTATTTAAATTACATATGCAGGTTTAGGGTGTTTACCTCACACCTCTTCAAAGTTTGGAGTATTTTTATTATTTTTCCCAAGTGATATATTTGGGCTGCCCAATCTTTCTTATTGGACCCGAACATCTAATGAGTCCTTCTTTATTTTATATTGGGCTCCTACAACTAATAAGATGACCCAATTAAGTATTTTGTAGTCCGTTGATCCTTATAGTAAGGGCCCAACTAATATTTTAATTAATCATTTATTAATTAAAGGCTTAATCATTTAACACATGATTAACGATCGAGAGTTTAAGTACATGAAATGAATTTTAAAACAAAGTGTCAAGTACACGCGGGTGTGGTGTTACACTCCGAATAATAAGAAGTCCAAGTAACCGAGATAAGTTTCTACCAACTACTCAAAGTAGGACGAATCCTAAAAAGTGGAATATGGGCTACTACTACCTCAAGCCGATGCAAAGAATAATAACATCCAAGATGTCCAAAACCAAAACCACCTGATAGTAGTAGTCCTACCCTAGACTACACATTAGAAATTTTGAATCCTATATTTATCCAAATGTAGAAACCAACACCCCAAATTACTCCCGGGTGCTAAAATATTCAGAAATCGTTGATTATAATTTGCCAAAAGATTTGATATCACAACACTTTCCCAAAAGAGGGCTTAACCCAAACTACCACTTTGAAAATAGCATTTAGAACCACTACCAAATCAACCTAATTAGTAATTAGGATATTCCAAATCCAAAATATATTTGTAAAATAACACACGAGCATAAGCCCTTAACATAGTTTTATTTCATATGAGGACAAGATCCCAAACTCGTTAGTAACCTTGATCTGAGGTTTTATTATTGAGGGGGTTTCAATTTTATTGTGGGTTGGGTTTTATTTGCTTTCTCGTTATTTTCGTTGTTTCTTTTTCCTTGCTTTGTATTTGTTCTTTATTTTTCATTAATAAAATATGTTTTTCATTATAAAAAAAGAAATAGTTTAATTCATATCAAAGAAATCTCCGCAATTTCCAATCCAAAATAACTATTTCTCAAAAATCACAATTTCGGTCATAGCAAACCGAATTGATAAATTCGCCCAAAAACATACGTTTATAAATTCTCAAAAATCACAGATCATAATATCCAATGTATAAGGGAAAAGGGTCAAATAGGCCCTCGAACTTACATAAAAAGATCCAATATATAAACCTTATATAGGAGGCTCTATCCGGCCATTGCCATTTGGGGCAGTTCCCGGTGGAATTTTTTGAGCATCTTATTCATTAAGTCTAGTTTACACTTACCAAATTTATGCTAACAATTCAATCGGAAAGGCATTCAAATGAATTCTTGAAGATAACTGCGCAGTTATCTTCAATAATTCATTTGAATGCGTTACCAATTCAAGTTTTAGCTGAAATTTAGTATGAGTAAATTAAACTTAATGAATAAGATGCTCAAAACATTTCATAAAAAAAATTCATCAAAAAATTCCAACGGCAACCGCCCCAAATGGCAACGGCCAGACAGAGCCTCCTATATAAGGGCTTATTTGACCTTTTTATGCAAGTTCGAGGGCCTATCTGACCCTTTTCCCTATCTGAAATACTCACAAAGTTTTAGAAAGAAATTGAACTCATAGGTCAAACCCTAGTTAGTACATAATAGAGGTAAAATAGTATTTTGGTTGACATATTCCTTACCTCGAGGCTAGCAACGAAATCAAAATGGGAATCCTAGCTTGAGAGGTCACACACACGACCCTAGGAATATATATGGTTGTGGGGCTACAACTTAGAATAGAAATTGAAGAAAACGAAGAAACGGGGAAAAATCGGAATGACATATTTTTATTTCTTAAATAGTAGTAATTACTAGGAATGAAGAACTTGAAGAAAACTGGTATGGGAAAACGTTTTGTAAATCCAAAATAGGATTGTCATATTTTTATTCCTTAAATAGCAGTAATTACTATAAAACTTGTAAAATATTGTCACGTGTAAAGCTTGGTGATAAGTCCGTATTTCGACACGCATTTGATGCGTGTTGGGATCGGCTTTTGATGATTTTCCTAGCTTTAAGGTGTTACAAGTCTCAATTTTAGCTCAAGTTATGTTTACCAGGCGTTGGTTCTAGTTTTGTGGTGTTTGGAGTCAAAATCAGGAAATTAGAGTCTGACATCGGCGCTTGAGAAGCATTCGAGAAGAGTTGATGAGTTTCGAGAGAGATTCGAGAGTTTTGAAGGTCTCCGGGAGATTCACGATGAAGGTTTGATGAAGAAAAGACCTTTGGATCGATCACGGAAGCAATCGCAGGCGAAAAGAGAAGAAAAATGGCTAAGAAGTCAAGTTAGAAGGAGTGCTCACCAAGCGCTTGACAGGCGCTCGCCAAGCGGGGTGGCAAAATTCTTTAGAAAGAGCGCTCACCAAGCGCTCGACGCCCGCTCGCCATGCGGGTGTGGCAGAAGCCTCTGGAGAGAGCGCTCGCCGAGCGCATGACGGGCGCTAGTCGAGCGGAGGTAATTTACGAAAAATAACGATTTTGGAGGTGCGCTCGCCGAGCGCTCCTTGCCCGCTCGCCGAGCGCTCTGTCTGCAATCCCAATTTGACCCGAATTCCTCTGTTTTCTATAAATAAGACCTTCATTCTCCTGTTTAAGGGTTATGAACATTACAGAGAGGCCTAGGGACGAATTTAACATCGTTTTCCCGCTATTTTCTTCAAGAACCCTGAGATTATTTGTAAGTTCATCTTTTTAATTAATGACAATTATTTCTTTTCATGCCAATTCTGTTGATTCTTCAATTATGAATTGTGAGTAGTTTAATTAGGGATTTGGGGTTGATGGAGGGGTTGATCATGATATATCGCCAGATTCTTGATGGTTTAATTTGTCACGCCCCGGACCTCCCCGGACACGTCAACAACCCGCCGTACAATATGAATAGTCAACCGCAGTCCAACACATTCATATTATACAAGGCGTCATGAATATCATTCACACATACGTCATCCATAAACAACATAATAAGTAATTCATAAAGCAGCGGAAAACATTGTTTAAAACAAAAGGGCCACACAGGGCTATTCATGAGCACGCAGGCTCTATAATAAAATATCCATGAGCAAATTTGTTAATGTTTCAAATAGAATGGAGGAAGCACGAACCAAGTCTTCTCTCCACGGATTCACCCGATCAACGAGCGCAGGGTGCAAGCTCAAGCCTCAACCTGAAATGGTGGTGGGACGCCCCCGAAGGGGTCAGTACTCTATACGGCTATAAAGTACTGGTGTGGCAGGCATCTAATAGATATACAACAAGTATTTCAAACACAAGACCCTCAAATAGGGTGATAGTACATTATGATTGTAACCCTAAGTTACCCCGTTTAAAAATATACTTACTTTATATAAAAGTCAAGTAGCCGGCCCGTGGGCCCATGTTCATTTGGAAAATCACTATTCCCAACCCCGTGACTATAAGCCACGACAACTCCTAGAGTCCAACCCTAGTACATGACATTGTATTCTAGAGCTCGGCTCTACCACATCACCATACAACTCATATACCTCGGGTCAATTTCCCTACCTTGCGTTCTAGAGCTCGGCTCTATCACATCACCACGCAAGTCCTAGAGCTCGGCTCTAGCTATACAATACATAGACTCCAAGTCTACACCTTACATGCATTCTAGAGCTCGGCTCTATCACATCACCATGCATTAAGGTCCAACTCTCAAGCAACCCTATGCCTAGAATTGACATATCATTAACTACCATGGGTCATCCCTAAAGACTTCCCATAACTTAACCTTAGTTCCTTACTAAGTTATTAGATACACTTGAACTACATTCAAGTATCTTTCATACAATCCAATCCCTAGGATCAATTTAATCAACAAGTCCCAATAATCACTAACTAGTATTTCAATACTATTAAGATTATTGTTATCATACCATTATCCTCATTATTTGTAATTCTCTACATAATTAGAATTATGTAGCAGCAACTTAAGTATTCAATCTCAATACACAAATATTCATTTATGTAAGCACATAATTCATACATGAGCAAAATGCCTATTTCACAAAAATAGTTCATTTATACTCATTTAATCTCATAATATTCATACATTCTCAAATCATTTCAAATTTCATTCTTTGGCAACTATATCAATATTTCATCAATATATAACCATCATAATTCATGAAAAATAATGATTTAGGCATTTAGGTAATCTCATGCTTAACCTACAAGTTGTAAGCAATTAGATGTCAATCCTCACCTCAATTGAGCTTTAAACTTTCCTTTCTTGGTCCAATGGTCAAAGCTTTGGTCAAGGTGGATTTGGAACTGATTCCTTGCTCAAATATGAGTGTTAAACAGCCTCCTCAAAGTGCTAGTTCAACCCTTAATCGTTGATACGAAAACAGCCCCTAGAACGGGTGTTTCCCGGTCAACTCGTTTCCTAGTTTTTCCAAGATTTGCTCTAGGTTAGTATCTAACATTTACATCAATAAAATAACTTTATAAGGACATATTATACACTTGAATTAGTGTATGATAGTCCCACCAATCGTTCATATCATTTGGAAAATGAAAAGTAAAGTTTTGGGGTTAAAACTCACTTTAGAAGATTAAATCCTCTCCCGCGAGGTTGTGTTTTGCTCGGACGATTTGGAAGCCTTACACAACTCCGATTCCTGCAAACCAGACCTTCACGGATTCCTCGTCTTGAGAGCTTTCTTTTGGTATATCGTACGCCTTATTTGGACGAGTGAAACTCAAGTTATGGATCAAACAAGAGACCCTATCTACTGGAAAACGAATCCTGCGGCCAGCTTCTCTCTTCTCTTCTCCCTTGGAATATGTGGCTCCCTCTTTCTCTCTTATCTTGGGAGTTCGAATGGGGTGTAGGGGGAGTGTATTAGGGGGCCTCAATCATGCTAAGAGAGCATGTGGTTCACAAAAAAGAAGGGTAGGGTATTTGATTGCAATCAAACATGGTATGGACCTCCTCTTTTATTTCCTTTTTGTAATGTTGTAGCTCATGAGTCAAAAGTCCGCCCCACATAGTTGTCTCATCCATTTTTCTTTGTCTTTGCAGGTACCAAGGTCATGTGGGATGATTCCCAAATGATCCCACTCAATTTGGGGTCCAAAATATCTACCAATACTTCCAAAAATGGGAAGATGGGTCCTATTGTTTCATCTTTTGTCAAAAGATGCCCTTTTGTACTCATCCTAATTTATTTAGAACAAGTCAACTTCCTACATCACATTATTGATCTACAATATGTGTAGGCTCATCTCGATAATTTACATGATGAAAATTACAAAAGAATACGGGTTTGAACAATACAATATTCAATCATGCACTTCGTAACATATTAATCGTTTTTCCATTGTTTTGAAATCGGAAATTCAATACATCACTTTTGAATTTTTAAATCGAATTTCCAAGGACGTTCGGGTGCGGTGTCACAAGTTCACCCCCCCTTAACAGGAATTTCGTCCCCGAAATTCACAGCTCTACTCGAATAGGAAAGCATACTGCTTCCTCATCAAAGCCTCCGTTTCCCATGTCTCTTCCTCGACCCGATCGCTCTTCCACAGGACTTTAACCATTGAGACTTCTTTGCTCCTCAGTTTCTTCACCTTTCTATCGGTGACCTTGATAGGTTGAACAGCGTAGTTCAAATCCTCACATACCTCTACAGGTGGCTTCTCCAATACGTGAGAGGGATCATGCACATACTTCTTGAGCATGGATACATGAAACACATTATGTATCTTCTCTAACTCAGGAGTCAACTGTAGACGGTATGCAACGGCCCCAATCCTCTCTATAATTCTGAATGGACCTATATATCGTGGGTTAAGTTTTCCTCGGGTTTGGAACCGAATGATCCCTTTCCAAGGAGAAACTTTCAAGAATACCTCGTCATCAACCTTAAACTCTAAGATCCTTCGACGCTTGTCTGCATAACTCTTTTGTCTATCCTGAGCCGCTTTGAGTCTCTCTCGAATCAACTTCACCTTTGATTTGGTGACCTCAACCAACTCAGTACCCTCGAGTTTGGCCATGCCAACCTCGTCCCAGCATAACGGTGTACGGCACCTCCTCCCATACAATGCCTCGTATGGAGGCATGCCGATGCTTGCCTGATAACTGTTGTTATAGGCAAACTCCACAAGTGCTAAGTGGTTGTCCCAACTTCCTTGGAACTCCAATGCACAAGCCCTCAGCATGTCTTCTAGGATCTGTATGACTCTTTCAGACTGCCCATCCGTCTGTGGGTGGAAAGCAGTACTGAACTTCAACCTCGTCCCCATAGACTCCTGGAATTTTGGCCAAAAACGTGATGTGAATCGTGGGTCTCTATCAGATACAATGGTCACTGGGACCCCATGCAGCCTCACGATCTCATCCGTATACAATTTGGCTAACCTCTCAAGTGGGTAAGTGGTGTTGATTGGCAAGAAGTGTGCACTCTTTGTGAGCCTATCTACAACAACCCAAACTGCATCATAGTTCCTGATTGTCCGTGGCAAACCTACCACAAAATCCATAGTCACGTGTTCCCACTTCCATTCAGGAATGGAAAGTGGTTGTAACAGGCCTGCTGGATGCTGATGTTCTGCCTTAACTTGTTGGCAAGTAAGGCATCGACTGATGTACTCGGCTATTTCCCTCTTCATTCCAGACCACCAGTAACTTTCTTTCAAATCACGGTACATTTTCGTGCCCCCCGGGTGCATGGCATAAGCCGATGAATGAGCCTCCTCTAAGATGGACTTTCGGAGCTCGTCATCCGCCGGTACACACACTCGGTCACGAAATAATAAGAGACCATCATCTCTTTCCCTGAAATCCTCCACCGGTCCCGCTTGCATGCGTTCCCGGACCTTCATAAGTTCCGTGTCCTTCTCTTGACCCTTCTTGATCTCATCAAGTAGAGTCGGTCTCACTTCGAACCGTGCCAATAAGGCACCGTCGCTAGATACCTCCAATTGGGCCCTCAGTGCCCTCAAACTAGTCAACAATGCCCCAGACGAACTCTTCCGGCTGAGGGCATCTGCTACAACGTTTGCCTTACCTGGATGGTACTCAATAACTAGGTGGTAGTCCTTTATCAACTCCATCCACCGTCTCTGTCTCATGTTTAACTCTTTCTGAGTAAACACGTACTTCAAGCTCTTATGATCGGTATATATGTGACATGTCTCTCCGTAGAGATAATGTCTCCAAATCTTCAGTGCAAACACCACCGCTCCCAGCTCCAGATCATGGGTAGGATAATTTACCTCATGCTTCTTCAACTGTCGTGAAGCATAGGCAATTACCCTCCCTTCCTGCATCAACACACACCCAAACCCTTGGATGCTCGCGTCACTATAGACATCGTACCCCACACCCTGTTTGGGTAATGCAAGTACCGGTGCCTCGGTCAATCGCTTCTTCAGTTCGATGAATCCTTTCTCACATTTGTCATCCCATATAAACTTAGCTCCCTTTCGAGTGAGCTTTGTCAACGGCGACGCCAAAACGGAGAACTTTTCCACGAACTTTCTGTAGTAGCCTGCCAATCCAAGGAAACTACGAATTTCCTTGACGTTCTTTGGCCTCTCCCATTCAGTAATGGCTTCTATCTTCTTGTTATCAACAGCAATTCCCGATCCTGAAACCACGTGCCCGAGGAAGCCAATCTCCTTTAGCCAAAATTCACATTTAGAAAATTTGGCATAGAGTTGCTTCTCCCGTAGTGTCTCAAGAACAAGTATCAAGTGCTCCTCATGCTCTTCTTCACTCTTTGAGTAAATCAAGATGTCGTCTATGAACACAATCACGAATCGATCCAAGTATTTATGGAATACTCGGTTCATCAAGTCCATGAATGCCGCTGGGGCGTTTGTTAACCCAAACGACATAACGAGGAACTCGAAATGCCCATACCTTGTGCGGAAAGCACTCTTTGGTATGTCATCTTCCTTAATCTTCAATTGATGGTACCCCGATCTCAAGTCAATCTTTGAAAACACGGTTGCTCCTCGTAGTTGATCAAACAGGTCATCAATCCTAGGCAACGGATACCTATTCTTGATTGTGACCTTATTCAGTTGACGATAGTCAATGCACATTCGAAGCGTCCCGTCTTTCTTTTTCACAAAAAGAACTGGTGCTCCCCACGGGGAGTGGCTGGGTCTAATGAAACCATTATCCAAAAGCTCTTGCAATTGGGTTTTTAACTCGTTAAGTTCAGCGGGTGCCATACGGTATGGCGGTATGGAGATTGGTTTGGTACCAGGCTCGACCTCGATCACAAATTCAATCTCCCTGTCAGGTGGAAGCCCCGGTAGGTCTTTAGGGAAGACATCCGGATATTTACAAACCACCCTCACATCATCGATGTTCGTTTCCTCTTTGGTTTTATCAACCACGTATGCTAGATATGCGTGGCATCCTTTTCTCATCATACTTCTCGCTCTCACGGCGGATATGATACAGCTATTTGATTTGCCTCGGTCCCCCTCGAAGCGTAGGGTGTCCCCATGTTTGCCTTCAAGTTCCAACACCTTTGTGTAGCAATCTACCCTAGCATGATGCTTTTCTAGCCAATCCATCCCTAGGATTGCATCGAACTCCATCATACTCAGCGGTACGAAATCACACGTCAAGGTTTGGCCACCGATTTCCACCATACAAGATGGATAGTAATTGTTTCTTTCAACGTCTTCCCCTAGTGGGGTTGATACCACTAAGGTTTGTGTCATTGGCATTGATTGTATCTCTAAGCTCTCGGCGAACGCCTCACTCACGAATGAACGTTGCGCTCCGGTATCGATGAGGATTCGTGCATCCTTCCCGTTAATCTTTAGTGTCCCTACATTCATGAACCATGTAAGACATCTTCCCTACCCTCCCTACTCATTTATAGAAGGTTGCAATGTTCATACGCACGTTAGGGATCAAGAAGAGGCCTTAACGTCGCAAAACGGTGCGAAAAAATCTCATTTCGGCAAACTGGGTGCCAGGCACGGCGTGCCTGGGGTAGGCACGATCGTGCCTGGCTTGGGGAAACGCCCAGGGTGCCACTGCCTTGGAGGCACGATCGTGTCTGCCTTAGGCACGATCGTGCCTGGGTTGGGAAATCCTGGGGAGCCACTGATTTGGAGGCACGATCGTGTCTGGCTTAGGCACGATCGTGCCTGGTTTGAAGAAACACCTGGGCAGCTACTGCCTTGTAGGCACGATCGTGTCTGCCTTAGGCACGATCGTGCCTGGGTTGGGAATTTTCCTGGGCAGCTACTGACTTGGAGGCACGATCGTGTCTGCCTTGGGCACGATCGTGCCTGGGTTCCAGCTGCCTGAAGTTGCCCGAAATCCCCCGGTTCGACCCCCAAACCTTGTGCAATGGTCCTAACGATTAGTAACCTTAATTTATGGACTAATTAAGGACAAAACACTAGTATACGAGAGGTAATACCTGCAACGGAATCCGGATTAGCTTGAGCATCCGCCTCCGTCATCGCGTAGACCCTAGCCTGGGTCCTTCCTTGGTTCACGGACGGCGCGTTGCTCGCGCTTGCTCCCCCATGTCCCCGGCTTGCTTGAGAAGCCCCGGGTTGATTCCGTGTACCCGTCGGGCCACTACTTGGTCCCGATGTCCTTGCCCCGACCAGTTGTGGGCAATGCGCCTTCAAATGCCCGGCATCCCCACATTGAAAGCATCTAGGGGGGTCGCGACATTTACCGGAGTGGTTCTTCTTGCAATTGTTGCAACGAGTTACCACCGAGGTTTGTGACCTCGAGCCTTGCCCACTCGGGCCTTGGTTCCCCCTAGACGGTGGCGGTGGTGCCCGGAAAGATCCTCCTCCGTGGTTCCCCTTTTTGCTGGAACCTTGGGAGCCATGACTCTCCCATTTCCTCTTTTTCGCCTCCTCGGCGTCTCTCTTCTTCCGTTCCTCCCACTGTTTCTCCCCTTTCAATGCTTGTTCAACCACTTGGGCGAAAGTCATATTAGGCAATTGCGTTGCCCTATCACGTATCTCCAAGTCAAGAGCGTCCCAAAAGTGGTTCACCATGCGGTTCTCGTCACAAGCATACTCCGGTATGTAGTCGGCAAGATCCCGGAACTTGTACTCAAGCTCCTTCACTGACATGTTACCCCCCTTGGGTTAGGAGGGTGTATTCCCTCACCTTCTTATTCACCTCGAAATCAGAATAGTATTGGGCAAAGAACTCCCGTTGGAAGTCCTCCCAAACGACGGTCTCACCGTACTTGTTCTTGGTTCCATCCCACCACTTGGATGCCATCCCCTCGAGTAATCTTACCGCAATTCTCAGTTTGAGATTCGGCGCGATTTGCATGTCAAGGGCCGCTTCATTTAGCCTCTTGATCCATTGTGCTGCCACTGAAATGTCCCCTGCTCCATCAAAGGGTTTGCACCCCAAATCTCTTGCTTCTTTGATGTATTTGGAGATCCTTATGGTTGGACCCCCATCATTTTGGCCTCCACGTGGTTCCACATGGACTCTAGATGCACCATGACTTCCTCCTCGTGAAGCCATGCCCGAAGGTTGCCCAGCCCGGCGCCTTCGGCGTTCCCTCCTCTCTTCACGCTCACGGTGATATTGTTGGAGTAGTGCCTCAATCCGCGCTAAGGAGCCGTTGTCCTCCTCATCACTTACATCATCATCATCCCCTTCATAAGGGGTTTCAACCGGCTCTGTTTCCGGCCGATAGGTCGAGTCCTCATAGGACCAGTAGCTGTCACTTTCGGTGCTCACATGACCGTCACTCACGGTCCGTGATTGGCCTCCACGGCCCGCTCCTCTAGATGCCCTAGAGGTCCTACGACTGCCTTGCCCAGTCTCCTCGGGTGCACGGCCCAAAGGGTTCCTCCTAGTTACCTTGCCACCACGGTCCATTTCTGAAAGAAATTTGGAAAGAGCCGTTAGACTCGTATCAAATGTCAATTGACGGATAGGTACTTAAGACACATTTTGGCTCGAGTCACCGCCATACCAATTGCTAAGGGTACCATCTTAACAATTAGAGACCTTGCAACCCAAGTACCAAAAGCTCTCCAAGTACAAAACTTCTATGCTCATGGTTTTCAAAATCTTTTCAAAAAGAGGATTTTGAGACTTCATTATGAAGTTTATGGACTAAGTCTCTGATACCAACTTAATTGTCACGCCCCGGACCTCCCCGGACACGTCAACAACCCGCCGTACAATATGAATAGTCAACCGCAGTCCAACACATTCATATTATACAAGGCGTCATGAATATCATTCACACATACGTCATCCATAAACAACATAATAAGTAATTCATAAAGCAGCGGAAAACATTGTTTAAAACAAAAGGGCCACACAGGGCTATTCATGAGCACGCAGGCTCTATAATAAAATATCCATGAGCAAATTTGTTAATGTTTCAAATAGAATGGAGGAAGCACGAACCAAGTCTTCTCTCCACGGATTCACCCGATCAACGAGCGCAGGGTGCAAGCTCAAGCCTCAACCTGAAATGGTGGTGGGACGCCCCCGAAGGGGTCAGTACTCTATACGGCTATAAAGTACTGGTGTGGCAGGCATCTAATAGATATACAACAAGTATTTCAAACACAAGACCCTCAAATAGGGTGATAGTACATTATGATTGTAACCCTAAGTTACCCCGTTTAAAAATATACTTACTTTATATAAAAGTCAAGTAGCCGGCCCGTGGGCCCATGTTCATTTGGAAAATCACTATTCCCAACCCCGTGACTATAAGCCACGACAACTCCTAGAGTCCAACCCTAGTACATGACATTGTATTCTAGAGCTCGGCTCTACCACATCACCATACAACTCATATACCTCGGGTCAATTTCCCTACCTTGCGTTCTAGAGCTCGGCTCTATCACATCACCACGCAAGTCCTAGAGCTCGGCTCTAGCTATACAATACATAGACTCCAAGTCTACACCTTACATGCATTCTAGAGCTCGGCTCTATCACATCACCATGCATTAAGGTCCAACTCTCAAGCAACCCTATGCCTAGAATTGACATATCATTAACTACCATGGGTCATCCCTAAAGACTTCCCATAACTTAACCTTAGTTCCTTACTAAGTTATTAGATACACTTGAACTACATTCAAGTATCTTTCATACAATCCAATCCCTAGGATCAATTTAATCAACAAGTCCCAATAATCACTAACTAGTATTTCAATACTATTAAGATTATTGTTATCATACCATTATCCTCATTATTTGTAATTCTCTACATAATTAGAATTATGTAGCAGCAACTTAAGTATTCAATCTCAATACACAAATATTCATTTATGTAAGCACATAATTCATACATGAGCAAAATGCCTATTTCACAAAAATAGTTCATTTATACTCATTTAATCTCATAATATTCATACATTCTCAAATCATTTCAAATTTCATTCTTTGGCAACTATATCAATATTTCATCAATATATAACCATCATAATTCATGAAAAATAATGATTTAGGCATTTAGGTAATCTCATGCTTAACCTACAAGTTGTAAGCAATTAGATGTCAATCCTCACCTCAATTGAGCTTTAAACTTTCCTTTCTTGGTCCAATGGTCAAAGCTTTGGTCAAGGTGGATTTGGAACTGATTCCTTGCTCAAATATGAGTGTTAAACAGCCTCCTCAAAGTGCTAGTTCAACCCTTAATCGTTGATACGAAAACAGCCCCTAGAACGGGTGTTTCCCGGTCAACTCGTTTCCTAGTTTTTCCAAGATTTGCTCTAGGTTAGTATCTAACATTTACATCAATAAAATAACTTTATAAGGACATATTATACACTTGAATTAGTGTATGATAGTCCCACCAATCGTTCATATCATTTGGAAAATGAAAAGTAAAGTTTTGGGGTTAAAACTCACTTTAGAAGATTAAATCCTCTCCCGCGAGGTTGTGTTTTGCTCGGACGATTTGGAAGCCTTACACAACTCCGATTCCTGCAAACCAGACCTTCACGGATTCCTCGTCTTGAGAGCTTTCTTTTGGTATATCGTACGCCTTATTTGGACGAGTGAAACTCAAGTTATGGATCAAACAAGAGACCCTATCTACTGGAAAACGAATCCTGCGGCCAGCTTCTCTCTTCTCTTCTCCCTTGGAATATGTGGCTCCCTCTTTCTCTCTTATCTTGGGAGTTCGAATGGGGTGTAGGGGGAGTGTATTAGGGGGCCTCAATCATGCTAAGAGAGCATGTGGTTCACAAAAAAGAAGGGTAGGGTATTTGATTGCAATCAAACATGGTATGGACCTCCTCTTTTATTTCCTTTTTGTAATGTTGTAGCTCATGAGTCAAAAGTCCGCCCCACATAGTTGTCTCATCCATTTTTCTTTGTCTTTGCAGGTACCAAGGTCATGTGGGATGATTCCCAAATGATCCCACTCAATTTGGGGTCCAAAATATCTACCAATACTTCCAAAAATGGGAAGATGGGTCCTATTGTTTCATCTTTTGTCAAAAGATGCCCTTTTGTACTCATCCTAATTTATTTAGAACAAGTCAACTTCCTACATCACATTATTGATCTACAATATGTGTAGGCTCATCTCGATAATTTACATGATGAAAATTACAAAAGAATACGGGTTTGAACAATACAATATTCAATCATGCACTTCGTAACATATTAATCGTTTTTCCATTGTTTTGAAATCGGAAATTCAATACATCACTTTTGAATTTTTAAATCGAATTTCCAAGGACGTTCGGGTGCGGTGTCACATAATTGCACGAATGCCATTTAATTTGTGTCTGAATAATTTAACTGATATCTTTTGTAACCTAGAATCGCGACTAGAATTACAATTGCTTGTAGCATAAATTAAGAGAGATCTAATTTGTTCTAGGACATATTCACACAGACTTAATCGCTCACTAAGAGATTAGTAGCGATTAAGGGGGCATAAGCTCGCTCATTTTGGCAATAATTTAGGATCCTGTCACATGAGAGATCAGTTTGGTCCCCTAAATTATTGTACTCTACGCCGCAAGAGCGGTAAGAACTTAGTAATGATTAGCTAGGCTCAATTAAATTAATTTCATATAATTAAGCCTGATCTGCTAGAAATCTGGTTACCCTGGAGTCAATCCTTGTTCCCCTCGTCGTTAATTAGAAGAAAACCAATCTTTTATTTTAATTGTTCGTCTGCATTTTAATTTTCCAACCCAATCATTCTAGCACAATTTTATTTTATTTTATTTTATTTTATTTCTGTTAAATCGCTGAATTTAGTTAATCTTTAATTCCCTTTTGTCCGTCCCTGTGGAGACGATACTCGTACTTTTAACCACTTTTCTACAATCTTTTTAAGTGCGAGAAAACTCACATCACTTGGCGATGCCAAAATATGACAATTAATCACTCATGTTTAGGCAGAAAAACGTGACAGTCTTATTTTGAAATTTACAAACTTTTTTACTCCTATTTAGGGCAACTTCTTAAGAAATATTTATACATTAGAACCTAAAAATGAAAAATCAATGGAAAATTGTTTGATAATAAAAACGTTATAATTTCATCAAATTATTTAAATATAAAGAGTCTAGAAGATACACATACACTAATACTTTTAAAATAACTTTTACCTCATTTAACCACATGAATCTTATCAAAATAAAGAATTCAGTTTTTAATTATATTTTGCCTACCAAGGATATTCATAAGCCACGAGGAGTTCTCTTAATGTTACAATGGTACGTATAAGTATTCACTTTTAAAATTCATGTTCATAAAGATGGTGCATATTACATTTACATTAATGCTAGAATAAGTTAAAATTTATTCTTTGTGCGAAAATTATTTTTAAAAGTAAGAAGTAAATGAATTATTTATTTTAATGTCCCACAAACATTTATATTTTGGTTATCTGATTTTTTTTAAACTATTATGTCTAATATTTAATAGTGTTTGATATTTACAAAATCAAGTATTGATTGTCTATTAAAGATAAGTTAACATTATAAATCTAGCATTTGTAAAAATGCACTAGTAGAAAAAAAGCTTTTTACATCATCTCATCTACATGTGTTATCATATAACCCATGTGAAATACTAACATGGGGTTATTTTTATAATTTTTACAAACTTTTTCACATCAGTTATTGTTATACCTGATGTTAAATAGTGAAACGGGGTGTATTTTACAATTTTATAAAATATTTTACATTGGTCTTATAAACAACCGATGTAAACACAAAAAACGGGGTCAACTTTTTAATTAATGGAAGTTGTTTTAAGATCGGTTAAAACCGGTTTCGAAAAATAGCAAAATACAAAAATCGTGCCTCATACGAGATCGGCTATAACCGATCTGGATGAGTAAACCTATGTGATACGCGTCATTTCTGTTATTTAGGAAGACCTTCAAACCTAGCCCAAAATTCAGCAAATTAGCGACCATCGCCCTGGGACGGCCAACGACCAGCGACCGTGGACGGCCAACGACCAGCGACTACCAACGGGCCCGGAGACCGCAGACAGACCCGACAGACCCCAGGCGCACCCGGCGACCAGCGACCAGAGGGAAAAAACGGACCAACGATTAGAGGCGGACCCTGCGCGCGATCAGATTGAACTAGCGACCAGACGCGATTGTGGGTAAAGTTTCCTGGCTCTAGCGCCGAGTGCAGGTCGGACGGCTTAGCCTAGGATTTCTGGCCAACAGTTTGAGCTAGTCGCCGAGCATCTGGTAAGTTTACTGATGGTGTATTATATGTGTGCAAGTGTAGGTGGATTTTGCAAGTGTGTATTTTTTCTTTGACGTATAAGTTGCTCACGCCTTAACATAGACCATATTAATTTTTATAGTTGTTGCTTGGATTGGATAATTTTTTTCTTTTTTTGGGAATCTGCCCATAGATGAATGTGTTATTGTTTAGGGCTGATTGGCAGAACTGAAGGTGTCATCTGCACGCTACGGGAGACCCTTAAAGTTAAGGATGAAGAGTTGCAAAATTGAAATTTGTATGCTCAGGGATGTGTTTTCTTCAGTCAGCCCATTGAATTCCATTCTCATCCTCCCTGTCACTCACAAATCTCTTTGTTACGCTTTTTGTCAGCATCTTTGATCTTTCTCAGGGTACTTAACACCCCAATTTCTTGATTATCTTGTAAAAGTAGGAGTTAATGCAGACGCCAAAAATAAATAAAGTTGAGTGAAGTGATGATATCATTATTGACTAGGCCTGCAAGACTAAATAGCAAGGCTGTTAGAATTGCTTTCACTTGTACAGTTTACTCGATCTGGAAAGCCCTAAATACTGGAATATTTGGAGGGGTGAAGGCCACGAGTGATGAACTGATTTTGCAAATCAAGTGCTTATTTACAAGATTTTATATAGACTATATCCGCCGAACATGATAAATTTCTGATGCCGCAATAGATCGGTTACTAGTTGACGGAACAGTTTGTGCTTTTGTCCTGATTTTAGATGCCTCCTGCAGTCAAACTTGCATTCGAGAGAGCAAAGGAGTATAAGGAAAACAAAGAAGAAGCTTTGGCAAAGTTTGCAGGTTCACAAGGCAGTGGTAATTTCTACTTTGATTCTTGATTGTTGTTTTATTTGTAATTTCAATTTTTTTTCCCGAATTCATTGCTATAAATTTCATATGTGAGTCATGATCAACCAGTAAAGATTTAATTTAATCGATCAGCTAGTCTAATTGACCTCGATGGATAATCTAACATCACTTTATATATGCACGGGTGTGAGTTGTCCTTTTCATATTTCTATGTGGAATCTTATAAATATAATTCTTGATGCTTTCAAGAAGTACTCAGGAAAAGAGTTTTTTCCTTACTCCATAGTAAGGTGTGAGTTGGCCTTTTAATATTTCTATGTGGAATCTTAAAACTATAATTCTTGATGCTTTCAAGTACGCAGGACAAAAGTTTTTTCCTGTACTCCACACTAAGGGTGTGCCTTTCTATTCATACTCCTTAGTAATTTATCTTTTTCACAACTGTGGTTTAAGTAGTTACATAGTCTTTTTACTGGATTCATTGGGTGATTGGGTCATACGTACAGAAAAGTAAAATGATGGTACTATTTGTATACATGTTTGACTCTTATTTATGAAATTCTATCCAAGTATTGAGCATATGGAAAAATTCAAAATTAGATTATTATTGCAAATTGCAGTACAGTACTGTACTTAGAGTATACATGCTTTTGTAATTGCAGTATCCTTTTGATCAAAATATTTAAAGAATTAAGCTTGAACCTCTGTTTTGTTGCTGGTTCCTATGAGTAGTTTGGCTGCTGGTGTGTGTGTGTGTGTTCTTAGAGGACTGTTTTGTTGCTGTTCGATATCTGTTTTTTTAATGTGGGTTTTCTTGTGATTTGTTGTTGGTAACTTCGGGGGTATGCCATTAAACTATAATTTTTGCCTATTTATAGTATTTATCTTTTATCCAAAAAAAATTATTGACTAGGTTTGATAATGTTGCTGATAAGGTTTGTTTAATAGGGTGCTTTTATGACATTCTAACGCCTGGATTTGTTTAATAGGGTGTTTTTCTAACATTCTATCGCTTGGATTTTATTGTATTTTATTGTTCGCTCTTTCCTCTTGATGCGTAAAGAATATGGTTTATTGTCATTTATAAATGGGAAAAGGTGCAAATAGGCCCATGTACTAACCAAAAAAGGTCAAATAAGCCCTTATTTAGGAGGCTCTGTCCGGCCGTCGTCATTTGGGGTGGTTCCCGGTGGAATTTTTCGATGAATTTTTTTTAGCATCTTATTCATTAAGTCTAGTTTACTCATACCAAATTTCAGCTAAAACTTCAATCGGGAAGGCATTCAAATGAATTCTTGAAAATAACTGCGCAGTTAGAAGCGCAATTATCTTCAAGAATTCATTTGAATGACTTCCCGATTGAAGTTTTAGCTGAAATTTGGTATGAGTAAACTAGACTTGATGAATAAGATGCTCAAAAAAGTTCATCAAAAAATTCCACCGGGAACCACCCCAAATGACGACGGCCGGACAGAGCCTCCTAAATAAGGGCTTATTTGACCTTTTTTGGTTAGTACATGGGCCTATTTGCACCTTTTCCCTTTATAAATTGTCATGTTATTTTACTCGGCAGCCTGTGGAAATTAGTGTTGAAGTGGAGAAGAGCAACATTAAAACAGATGAAGAAAAAATACAAGATGTTTGAGAAAGAGCCATAGATTATACAAGAGAACAAGCTATATCACCAAAAGCATATGGGGAATGTTCCAAGACGACCATCAGCAAGAAGCGATTTAGGGCATGATTGCAAAGACAATGTACAAGAAAAGTAAAGAATATTTTGCTAAAGCTTATGAACATTTGTCTAAAAATATGTATTGTTATTTTTATTAGTTATCAACATTGGTCTACTGAAAATTATTTGTAAGCATTGCAAGATGTGCTAATAACAGTTGATGATTCATGTTAATGATGTGATTATAGTATAAATAGGGTCATATTGCAATTTTTTTTTCTAAAAATTTCTACATCGGTTGATAAAATAACCAATGTGAAAGCTTTTCTACATGGGCTATAATCAATGTGAAAACTCGTATGTTCCGGAAAAAAATGAAGCTTTTCTACATGGGTTGTTTTAGACCCGATGTAAAATCTTTCACATAGGTTATAACCGATGTGGAATACCATTTAAAACGTCGTTTTGGACAATCTTCTAGATCGGGTACTGCACGACCGATGTGGAAAGATTTTTCACATCGGTTCTTTGACCGATGTGAAAAGTCTCTACTTTTCACATGGGCTGAAACCACATCGATTGTTTGACCGATGTGAAAAGCCTTTTTTGACCGATGTGAAAAGCCTTTTTTGTACTAGTGATGAATGAACTGTTCTATTGTTTATTTGTGTTAGAGCTCGTTTGGTACACTGCAATTGATTTAATCAGTTGAATGTATTAAAATTTATGAAATTCTTACCGAAATGACTCAATTAATTGAATCTATTGAATTACATAGAAATTTAATTTAGGCTATATATTTATTAATGTTGTTTGCGTCTCCTATCTTTGTCCCATTTTACATTTTCCGTTTGTCCTATTAAATTTGTTGCATACCATATTTGTGAATATTTGGGTGATTATATTTATTTTTTATTTTATTCACATTTTATCAATTCAATACTAGTAACACAATCACAATTTTCTTAATAAACACAATACTCCCTCTTATCTCAATTTTAGGAAGGGGGTGTAGTATTATAAAGAAAAAGTCAGATGAAAATGCTAAATTAGCTGACTTTAAACAATTTGATTCAATTTAATTAGAAAAATAATTTCAACATCACTTGCTTTAATTATTAAACAATTTATCTAAAATAGTTGGTTTAAAATAGTTTGACAAAAAGATTGACTGATAAAGTGAACCATATGCTACCAAACGGGTTTGGTAGCATATTTATACCATAGTATTTCCTAATATTTATATCAAAATATAAAGGGGATAAAAGGACCCTAATATTATTTTAGGGTATCAAATGGGCTCTAATCCTAATATGGAATAATTCTTTTTTTTTTTTGGTCCCATATGGAGTAATTCTTTACTAATAGTTTTATTTATATTTCAAGTATTTCAACTAATTTTAAAAATTAGCTAATAAATAAATAAAATTAATTCAAAGGAGCAAGTTTAACCGCCGCTAGTTCTGTTATGTTCACGTACTGTTACTTAAGGGTGTAATTGCCCTCCAATAAGAAATTTAAAAGATTTTTACGCTCAAAAAGAGCTTAAGGGCATACTCTTTGGTGGCATTTTGAGGTTTTTTTGCCTCTTTTCCCTAATAACAACCGTAGACACACTAGTGAACAAAACACTGCTCATGCGAGCACCAAACCACCTTTTAGAATTTAGACATTATTTAAATTAAATAAGGAAGAAGATGAGAATTAACATTCTCAAAAGATGAATGTCTCTTTTGGTATTGTCAATTACGTATAATTGATATATGTGAATCAAAGAAGCAAAAAGAATTTTTATTCATGTCCTTCTGGCCATCTATGCACTCCGGCTATATAGCCACTTACATCAGCAGTTCGGTGCTATTAGGAAGGGAAATAATAGTAGGAAACTACCTACTATAATTACAATACATAATTTTGTTACCAAAAATAAAGATAAGCCTCCCTAATAATATTATATACGTAATACCCCCCTCAAGTTGGAGCATGAGGATCAAGAATGCCCAACTTGCGCAGTAGAAAATGGAACTGTGTCTTGCCCAAAGCCTTGGTGAAAATATCAGCAAGTTGTATTGTAGTAGGAACGTAACTCGGAGCAATTAGATTGTCTTGGATGGCATTGCGAACGAAGTGACAATCAACCTCAATATGTTTAGTGCGTTCATGGAAAACCGGATTGCGAGCAATGTGAAGAGCGGACTGGCTGTCACAATAAAGAGGGATAGCTTGTGAGTGATTGATTCCCAGTCTAAGAAGCAAGGCTTTAAGCCACTTCAGTTCACAGGTAGCTGCTGCCATGGAGCGGTATTCAGCTTCAGCAGAGGAACGGGCTACCGTGGTTTGTTTCTTGGTTTTCCACGAGACGGGAGAATGTCCGAGAAACACCAACCAGCAGGAAAGAGACTTGCGAGTGAGGGGACAAGCAGCCCAATCAGAATCACACCAACCTGTAAGAGTAAGATCACCATCTGATCGAAGTAAGATTCCTTGACCTGGGGAACCTTTAAGGTATCGAACAACACGAAGAGCAGCCTGCCAATGTTCAAGGCGTGGAGCCTGCAAGAATTGAGACAAAATATGGACTGCATAAGCAAGATCAGGGCGTGTGACTGCAAAATAGATAAGACGCCCCATCAGCCGACGGTAGGTGTTTGGATCCGAGAGTAGGGGTCCTGAAGCATGAGCCAAATCATGATTTTGTTCAATGGGAAATGTCGCAGGTTTGGCCCTAAGCAAACTTGTTTCAGAAATAATATCAAGAGCGTACTTGCGCTGAGTGAGAAATAGACCAGAAGCACTCCGAGCAACCTCAATACCCAGAAAGAATTTGAGTTTGCCCAACTCTTTCATGTGAAAACAATCACCCAAGTATTGTTTAAACAAAGCAATTTCCTCTGAATTATTCCCTCAAATAATAAGATCGTCTACATACACAAGAACGTTCAATTGAAAAGTACCCCGTGTTCTTGTGAAGAGAGAATAATCAGCAAAAGATTGTGAGAATCCATAACCTTTCAAGGCCGCCACTAGCTTAGCAAACCAACACCGTGGTGCTTGCTTTGAACCATATAGTGATTTATGGAGACGACATACCAAGGTGGCGTCCGTGGTCGAATAGCCAGGAGGAATAGTCATATATACCTCCTCCTGAAGGTCCCCATGAAGAAATGCATTGTGGACATCCATCTGATGCAACTCCCAATTTTTACAAGCAGCAATAGCAAGGAAAGCCCGCACAGTTACCATTTTGGCCACATGAGCAAAAGTTTCCGTATAGTCCAGACCAGCCACCTGACGATTACCAAAAACAACCAAACGAGCCTTCAGGCGTTCCACGCTCCCATCAGATTTGTATTTTATTTTATAGACCCAGCGGCAACCTAAAGCACGTTTTCCAGGTGGAAGAGTGACCAAAGACCACGTGGAATTTTTTTCAAGAGCCTAGATTTCGTCACGCATGGCCGCCCGCCACCCAGGATCGGCAACAGCCTCTTTAAAAGTTTGAGGTTCACTCCTGGAAGAAATAGCTGCAAGAAATGCCCGATGGGAAGAGGAAAAATTATCACAACTAACATAATGTGAAATAGGAAACGGAGTACCTGAGGAAGCAGCCGGAGTGGCAGAGGAGGGGATGGAACTGTACTTTTGCACTGTATGAGTAACATAATCCTTTAAACGAACATATGGGTGTTTGACCCGATGCCCTCTTCCCACAACTTCAACCAGCGGATCAGGTGGTGGATCCAGTACAGATGCAACCGGATGTGGTGATTCCGGCGTAGAGATGTCCACTGGAGTAACAGGTGCTGGAGCAGAATTAGTAACATATTGATCATCATACGAAGCCACTAACAAGTCTTCCCCATTTTCGGGAATCAGCTCAGGCGCATCCAGAGAATCATCAGCAAAAGGAAAGATGTCTTCAGAGAACTTTACATCTCGTGACACAAAAAATTCACAAGTATCCAGATCATACAAATTCCAACCTTTTTTTCCAAAAACATATCCAACAAAAATGCATTTCCGGCTTCGGCTAGTAAATTTGTCACCCTTGGATTTAAGATTGTAAGCATAGCAAAGACAACCAAAAATTCTCAAAGATGTATAAGATGGTGGCGACCCAAAAAGTAGTTCATAAGGTGTGCGAAATTGGAGCACAGAGGCAGGAGTCCGATTAATTAAATGAGCAGCCATTAAAATGCATTCCCCCCAAAACTTGATCAGAAGATGAGCCTGAAACTGCAATGCACGGGCTACATTCAAGATGTGCTGATGCTTACGTTCAACACACCCGTTTTGTTGAGGTGTGGCAACACAAGAGGTCTGAAAAATAATACCACTAGTCCAGAAAAATTCTTTTAAACAATTAAATTCTGTACCGTTGTCACTCCGGATAATAAAAACCTTTTTAGAAAATTGTCTTTCCACCATTGCAATGAAAGACATAAACATAGTAAATACTTCTCGTTTATCCATCAGCAAATAAATCCACACGGCACGGGAAAATTCATCTACTATAGTCAAAAATAATTTTGCACCACAAGAGGAAGCAGTATTATAAGGACCCCATAAATCACAATGCACTAATTCAAAAATATTGCTAGTCTTATTCGTACTGTCAGGAAAAGACTCCTTACTTTGTTTAGCACGAAAACAAACATCACACGAAGAAGAGAGAGATTTATTGAAATCACGCATTGGAGCAAGTTTATTCATTACTCTCACAGAGGGGTGCCCCATTCTCTTGTGCCAAATGTCAAACTCATTGCTTCCAGAAATAGTCAAAACTTGAGCAGTAGTAATCTCCCGCAAATAGTACAGTCCATTCCGCCTCTCACCCATTCCAATCAGCTTCCTCGAGACTCGGTCCTGTATAACACACAAGTTAGATGTGAATTGAACAAAACAATCCAGTTCATCACTCAATTGAGTTATAGATATCAAGTTGCAAGTCATTTGAGGAACAAATAGAACATGATATGTTTCAAACGCAATCCTCCTGCAAATTCAACACAACCCTCTTCGGTTGCTAACACTTTTTGCCCGTCCGGTAACCCAACCGAACAAGATCTTATAGATTTAAGTTGGGACAGGTCTTCCCTATTGCCACAAATATGATTTGTGGCTCCGGTATCAATTATCCAAGCCGTGAGAGCGGACTTACCGTTCATGCGGCTATTAGAAATATTAGAGTTACTGAGGGCAGAAACCAAAGTTTTCCATTGTTCCGGGGTAAAGCCCGGCAATGGAGTGTAGTCTCCAAGCCTATCCCCAGCGTTCCCAGCGGAAAGTTGATAGCCTCCAATTGCAGCAACTGCTGCATGAGCTTTGGCAGCAGGTTTCAGGTGTCCAGCAACTTTGAACGAGCCTTTCCCATGTCCGGCAGCCTTCTTTTCAGCCTTTGGGTGGTCGAATCTGCTTGATGTGCTGGAATACACTTCATCACCGGTAACCATAGCTTGATTTTAGTGCTCTGATACCATGTCAATTACGTATAATTGATATATGTGAATCAAAGAAGCAAAAAGAATTTTTATTCATGTCCTTCTGGCCATCTACGCAGTCCGGCTATATAGCCACTTACATCAGCAGTTCGGTGCTATTAGGAAGGGAAATAATAGTAGGAAACTACCTACTATAATTACAATACATAATTTTGTTACCAAAAATAAAGATAAGCCTCCCTAATAATATTATTATATACGTAATAGGCATGCTCTTTAAAAATCTCGATCGTGTCTTTTTAGTTTTTTACTCCACGGGCCAAATGAATTGGCAAATCAAATTGGAATCTAAAAATAGACTACATCCGTCACTAATTTATCTTCTCAAGCACATATGTATATATTTTTAATATATGAAAACATTATTAATTAATGTTTACCTAAATGTTTGTAAGATAAATACGTAGAAGTACATGTTGTTTGCGTATCTCGAAAAACTGCAAAATAAATAATTAAATAACAAATTATGATAAACGAGAAGCGTACAAAATTGAAGAGGATTGAACGGAGCCCAACAAATGCTTGTTGTCTCCTTAAGAAAAATTTGCTCGCTAGCAATTGTCTCACAGGATAGAACGGTTTTTTGTTCCCGAAGGACACTGGCGAACCAAACGATGCACTAACGATGGAAAGTGGGATGTAGAGGAAGAAGAAAACTTTGAGATGATTTTCGGACTAGTTGCTTATGTGTAAAACCGCAGGAGCCAATTGGGATTAAGTACTCTGGTCAGGAGACTAATCCCAAAAGGCACCTATTTAGAAAAAGGTGGCAACCTTTCTTCTAAGAGTATGTTTGGCACAACTAGCTGAAAAGATACTTTTGTGAACTTTTTAGTAACTACTACTCCCTCCGTCCCGCTAAGATTGTCCCATTTTACCTTTTCGGGAAATCCCACTAAGATTGTCTCATACCAAATTTGGTAAAGTAAATCATTTTTACTTTATTCTTACTTTATCAATTTAACATCAACCACACAAGCCCACTTTTCTTAATAATCGTGTCACCTTCTGTTGTCCTAATCTTAGTGGGACGAAGGTAGTAGTTTTTAGTTACTGAAAAGATCTTAAAAAGAAAATGTGATAGTTGTTTGGTAAAAAGTTGACTATTTGATTTAGGATGTTTTTACTTGGACTGTAATTTACTGGTTTGGTCTGGTCTGAACTGGTTTGGTCTGGTCTGGTCTGAACTGGTTTGGTCTGGTCTGGTCTGGTTTCTTTGTATTTTTATAACTACCCAAGTCTGGTGTGGACTGATCTGGACTGGTCTGGTTTGGTCTGATCTGGTCTGGTCTGGGGCAAATTACAGTCCAAGTAAAAACATCCTTAGTTCGGTTTGGTATCCAAGCTGTTAAGACTAATTAATACTAGAGATTTTACTCTTTGTTAAAGTAAATCATTTTTACTTTATTCTTACTTTATCAATTTAACATCAACCACACAAGCCCACTTTTCTTAATAATCGTGTCACCTTCTGTTGTCCTAATCTTAGTGGGACGAAGGTAGTAGTTTTTAGTCACGGGTTTTTTTCAGATGCTACTCTTTGTAGCATCTCAAAAAAGAGATTTTAATATTTGAAAACTCTTAAAAATTGTCTGACCAAACATATAATTAGAAGCTTTTAGAAGCTGTTCTCTTCGCCTGATCTGAATGTTTCTGATATGAATTTTTTAAGTTCTGATCTGATCTGATCTGAATTTTTCTGAGCTGATCTGATCTGATCTAAATCTTTCTGATCTGATCTGATCTGATCTGAATCTTTCTGATCTGATATGAATGTTTCTGATCTGGTTTGATCTGATCTGAATGTTTCTGATCTGATCTGAATCCTTCTGATCTGATCTGAATCTTTCTGATCTGATTTGAATATTTCTATAATTATAATTATAATTATTGTAACTATTGAAATTTTAATTACAAATATAATTTAAATAAAATTATAATTATAATCCTAACTATAATAATACTAATAATAATAAATCAATTTAAAATGAAAAAAAGTTATACCTATTACACTAATTATAAATATAGATACAATTATAATTGTAATTATATTTTTAATTATAATTACTTATATAATTATAATTGTAATTATAATTACAACATTTATCTCTATAATTGTAACTATAGTTATCAATATTATTATAATTACTCCGTAAAATAATTACAATAGTAATAATAATATTATTATTAATAATTATAATAAAAATAATAATTATAATCATAAATTATAATTATAATATAATTATAAGTATAATTATAACTGTTATAATTATAATTAATAATAATAATAATAATAATAATAATAATAATAATAATAATAATAATAATAATAATAATAATAATAATAATAATAATAAGGGAGATTTACCTAAATGGGAGTAATTAAAGTTTTATTTGCCAAAATAGGACTAAAGTTTAACAATGACTTAAATAGGATTTATTATTTATAATTAGACACAAATACCCCCAATCTTGACAAAACATGTCGTTGCTGACTGACCGCCGAACCGCTCGTCGTCGTCTAGCGCCGCTGGCCGCCGCCGGCCATCGCCACAGCCTCAAAATTAGCCGCCCCTTCAGATTTGACCGCCACCCGTGCAAACATGGCTTCCACCGCCGTAGGTCTGACCGCTGCCAGCCGCCCCTACAGTTCCCGCCACAACCACTACAGATCCGGCGGCCGCCTTTGCAGATCCGGCCACCATAACGTCAGATCTGGCCGATGTCGTCACTTATGTCAACTTTTTTATCCGAATGCCAAAACGAACAGGGAATGCCAACTTAATGGCATTTTGAAAGGAAAATGTAAAATTTTTGAAGTGTAAGAATTCCATTTAAATGGCATTCTCATAGAAAAATTTGGCAATTATAACAATCAAAGAAGAAGTTGAACATCGCACATAGGATGAAACAGAAGATGGGAAGAGAAAAACACAGAAGAGAGGAGGAAGAAGGAGGGGATGAACAATGAGCTACTTTACTCTTCCTTCAGATCTGGACCGAGATTCACTCACTCCCTCGTTGTTCACCTCTTCTCTCCTCTACTGCTCGCTGATTCTCGCCTCCGGCCGATGCTCGCCGTCGTCGTCGCCGCACTAGAAGAACTTGTTGTTGCAGCTTTCCAATCGGAGAAGATGAGCAGAGAAGGAAACTCACCATCTTGTAACCTGAAATATGAGCAGATTGGAGAAGATTAGTTGGTATGTGGAGAAGAATTCAAGAATCGGAGCAGAAAACCTATTTTACAAAGAAGAGAAGTTGAGTATGTGTTGGGGGAAGAAGGGAAGGTGTGCGTGGAGCTGTGGAGAAGGAATGGTCTTCGTAGAAAATGAGACCGATTGCACCAAGAAAGAGGGTAAAATTGGAAGAATAGTCCTATTAAGGAATAAAAATACATCTACTCCTATTTGGGAATTTAACTAATAATTAAGTCCTATTTAGGACAAAAAAATAATAATAATAATAATAATAATAATAATAATAATAATAATAATAATAATAATAATAATAATAATAATAATAATAATAATAATAATAATAATAATAATAATAATAATAATAATAATAATAATAATAATAATAATAATAATAATAATAATAATAATAATAATAATAATAATAATAAAAGTGAAAACTTTTCTGATCTGATCTGATCTGAATGTTTCGGATCTGATCTGAATGTTTCTAATCTGGTCTGATCTGAATCTTTCTGATCTGATCTGAATCTTTCTGATATGATCTGATCTGATCTGATCTGAATAAAATAAGAATAAGCAATAAGTAATAAGAATAAGACGAACAGAACAACACCTTAGAGACTTTTTGAACATTATAAAAGCTAGCTTAGAAGTCAGAAACTTATGCCTGCCAAACATAGCCTAAGTATTGTCTTAACCGAAATTAATTATACAAAAATCAATGTTTAAGTCTTAAAGCCACGTCGGGTATCCACCTGTACCCGAATCCCGACCCAACCCAGCTGGCCAGTGGCAACGACGTCTGAAGTGCAATTTCACGCTCACTGTGTGCAGAGACAATTTCTCATTCATTTCAAAATGGTTTTCTACAAATAATATATTGAAATATTAATTTGTAAACCATTTTTCCAAACATACAATGCAAAGAAAACGAAAAGATTCAAAATAAGAAAGGGACAAAAAGACCAAAAGAGTATACAGAGAGTGCTTTATTGTGGGAGAGGTGGAAAAGGCAGGGTGGTTGTATGCGGGAGAGGTGGAAAAGGCAGGGTGGTTGTATGCATGGGAGGTAGATTTTGTCCTTTTAAGAGACCATATATGATTTGCTCCCGCTCGTTTGTCCAAATGCCTTTGGAAAATCCCTTTTGTGTCTTATTTATATTTCTGTAGATTCTGTTCTGATATACCAATTCACTACCTTTTTCAATCTCGTTTTTTGATGGTATAATTATATATGGTCGAGAAGATAATTCAAGAAGGAAAGAACCAAATTAAAGAGTTTGATGAGGAGTAAAGTGTGCAGAAAAACAATATAAATGTATTAATATTTCAACTTTTATTATGAGATGAAACTAACCAATTAATCTTATTACAATTGATGCGAAAATGTGAAACAGCTGGGGTAATGATTTAAGCCGAGAAATGATTAGAGAAAGATTTTCATAAATTGATCGATTTCAAATTTATAATTAATGATAGGGAGTCTTTTGGTTCTCGGAATGTAAGAGCATCTCCAATGGTACAATGTGCACGGTGCACACGTGGCATGAGAGATAACCACATAAATATTAGTAAATAAATTCTTTCTCTCCTTATTTCAATGATTTTATACAGTATTGATAAGTTTTTCTCCACAATGTCAAGGAGACCGTCTAGATGTTGACATTGTTATTGACATTGCAGGGAAAAACTTACCAAAGTTGTATAAAATCATTCAAATAAGGAGAGAGATAATTTATTTGTTAATATTTATGTGGCTATCAATCATGCCACATGTGCACCGTGCACATTATAGCATTGGAGATGCTCTTAAGATAGTCAGATAGGTCCTTTCGTTGGAATGTAAGATAGTCAAATAGATCACTGCATCTTTAATGTTACAATGTGCAC